TAATAACGGGAACTGAACCCAGAGCCTCACATGTACTAGGCAAGCACTTCATTGCTGAGCTTCATCCCTCATTCAATTTGGATTCCTTTTTAAAATTTGTTTCATCACTCAGAATTCTCCATTTTTCCCCCTAATACAAGCAAGCCCATGGTGAATTGTGAGTGAAATAGAAAATATGCAGCTGGTTTTGTTCCCAAGTAGGGAGATGATGAGGCTCAGTCTCTACTTAGCCAGAAACAAATGACCTTTAAGTGAAGGACAAGAAAACTATCTTTTCTAGAAAGTTGCTAAAGCATTTAGGATCCTGAGCAGGAGTCTTGGGTGCCACCCAAATTCTGAGTAGGTGCATCAGCCTCTTCAGGTAATACAGACCCAGCTTCATACTTTCTCTGAAAGAAAGAAGGCATAGTCAATTCCAGGCTTGATCAGAGCACCACCTGCAGGTCATGTGTCTTCACAGCCTCCAGCAGCTGCTCTTTCCCTCTGAACTCTGCATCTTCCTCTCTCCCCATCCTGGACCTGGCAAACAGGCTGGTCATTGGAGACCTCAAGCCAGCTGGTTAGTGCGTGGGAAAGGAAAATGCTAGAGGTAGTGATTGCCATAGGCTTGAGAAAAGGAGCAGGAAGGACTGTATAAAAGCCAGAAAGCAAAATGGCGAGGCTGGCAAATTTCTCTGAAGGTGGCTCCCAAGTGACTGGAAAAGGGGAACATTCTGAGGAAGGAGTCTTAGAAGACAAGATCTACTAAGTGAGCTCAAGCCAAAAGTCCTTTGTTTAGGCAGATCTAGAAAAAAACCCACCCATTCACCTCTGAATCTGGCAACCCCAGGCTTCTTGGATTATTTTAGCTTCTACTCCAAGGACTGGCCTTTGATTTGTTCCCACATATCTGCCAGACCAGGATTTGTACTGATTGCCCAACTTGCTGGCAGGCCCTTCCTGTGGTTCCAAAGACCTGTCACTATTACCTTGCTATTTTGAAAATGAATTTTACTACGTTTTTCAAACCAAAAGAATAAGAATACAAAAAGATCAACAGAACATTAATCACCTTAACAAGAGATTACTGAAAGAGAGGAAGAAACAGACTCCTGGGAGCCTTGAGATGAGAGCAAGGCTGCCATTTACTGAACTCTAACATGCCACCAAATACTGAGAAAGACCTGGCTTTCCTGAGGTCCTGGAGGCCTGCATAAGGACTTTCTGGCAGGGCTTAGAAGCAAGGGCCAGAAAGAAGATAATTATCTGTTCTGATTGAGAGAGACACGAAGAGGATGATAGGAGGAGCTGGATCACCACATGGTGCTCTGAATCATGAAACTGCCTTCCTTTTGCATGATCTCTAAGTAGCCAATCAGTACTCAGAAGACGGATGCTATAAGAACAACAGAGTCTTTGACACGTCAGAGACTACTAACAAAGACAGAAGAGAAAAAAGAAAGTTTGGCTTATTGTTGCAAGAAAAATGCTCAGCTTCTTGGCTGTCCTCTGAGCTTTAGGCTCAGGAGCTCCATTAATTTGAAATACTAAGAAAGGCAAAATTGGGGCTGGAGAGATGGCTCAGGGATTATGAGTACTGGCTACTCTTGCAAAGGACCCAGGTTTGGTTCCCAGCACCCACATGACAGCTAATAACCCTCTGAAGCTCCATTTCCAGGGGATCCAAAAGCCTCTTCTGGCCTCTGTGGGCATTGCACACACAGGTCCACTTACATACATGCAAGCAAAACACTCAAGAAAAATTTTAAAAATCGCCAGGCATAGTGGTGCAGGCCTTTAATCCCAGCACTTGGGAGGCAGAGACAGGTGAATATCTGTGAGTTCAAGGCCAGCCTGGTCTACATAGTGAGTTCCAGGCCAGCTGAGACTACAGGGAGACTCTGTCTCAAAAAAACCAAAAAAAAAAAAAAAAATCAAAACATAATTAAAAAACTAAATAAAGGAAGGAAGGAAATTTTTCAGGTGTGGTAGTACACACGTTTAATCCCAGCACTCAGTAGGCAGAGGCAGGTGAATCTCTGTGACTTTCAGGCAGCCTGGTCTACATAGTGAGTTCCAGGATAGCCAAGGCTATATAGTGAGACCCTGTCTCAAAAAAAGAAAGGGAAGATAGAAAATGGCAAGAATGTCTTCCAAGTCCTGCCACTTCAAATCAAGAGGTACTCCTTCGTGTTGCCATGCCAGCTCAGTGTTGTCACTCCCAGAGTGCCTTTTCTACTCGTGCTCCCTTTTCAGGACTAAGCAGAAAGGGCTCAGAATTTCTTCAGAGCAGACCTAGGGCTAGAGCCAGCAATCCAGATAGTTCTGTAGGACCTCTGCAGGTCTTGGAGGAAGCAGCTTCTTAACCTACTCCCTGTGGTTGTTTAACACTGGTGTGGAAGCAGAGCTCACCCCTGACAGATTTGTGCTCACTGCCAGCTTTCCCCTCTTAGTCATAGCTGAAATCCTGTGTCCCTCCCACTCCACAGCCTTAGGTTCTGTTGTTTGTCTCTTTCTCTCTTGTAGGTTAGTTATACTAGTAACAAGATTTTTTTGAGGCAGGGTCTCACTGTGTAGTCCTGACTGGCCTAGAACTCACTGTGTAGACCAGGCTAGCCTCAATCTCATAGAGATACTCTTGCCTTGCCACCTGACTTTTTTTTGTTTTTTATTTTGTCTTTTTTTTTTTTTTCTTCTGGAGCTGAGGACCGAACCCAGGGCCTTGTGCTTGCTAGGCAAGTGCTCTACCACTGAGCTAAATCCCCAACCCCAAGAAAAGAAATCTTTTTGTTTTTTAAAAAGCATTAAGCTAGACTTTTTTTTTTTTCTGGGTCTTTTTGAGACAGGGTCTCCCTGTAGTCCCAGCTGTCCTGGAACTCACTATGTAGACCAGGCTGGCCTTGAATTCACAGAGATCTGCCTACCTCTGCCTCCCAAGTGCTGGGATTAAAGGCGTGCGCCACCACACTCAGCAAATTTTTATTTATTATTTTTTTATTTTATGTGTATGTGTATATTGCCTGCATGTAGGTAAGTGCACCCATGTTGTGCAATGCCTGGGGAGGACAGAAGAGGCTGTTGGATCCCCTGGAACTGGAGTTATGGACAGTTGTTAGCTGCCATGTGGGTGCTGGGATTCGAACCTGGGCCTTCTACAAATCAAGTCAGTGTTCTGAACCGCTGAGCCATCTCTCCAGCCCCTTAAGCTAGACTTTTACGTTTATTTAAATGTATTCTTATTTGTTTTTTGTTTGTTTGTTTGTTTGTTTGTTTTCTTCTTTTTGAGACAGGGTCTCCCTGTAGCTCCAGCTGTCCTGGAACTCACTATGTAGACCAGGCTGGCCTCAAACTCACAAAGATCTGCCTGCCTCTGCCTCCCAAGTGCTGGGATTAAAGGCGTGCACCACCATGCCCAGCCCTTAAATGTATTTTTAATATTTTATTGATTCTTTTGAGAATTTCATATAATGTATTTGATCATATTCATATCCTGCCCCTATCATTTCTCAGATCCTCCTCCACCTCCCTACTCCCTGCTCACTTCATGTCCTCTATTTAAGGCCTACTGAGTCTAATTTGTGTTCCCCAAATGCTCTTGGGTGTGGGTCCAGTCCCTGGAACCTGGCCAACCTACCTGGAGTCACACCCATAAAGAAAACTGACTCTCTCCGTGTAGCTATAACTTGCCAATAGTTCCTCAGCTAGGGCTGTGGCTTCTTGCCCCCATAACCTCTCCATGCTGGGTTCTGTTGGGCCTTGGTTTGCACAGGTCTTGTGCAAGCTGTCACAAATGCTGTGGGTTCATATGTGCAACTGCCCTGTTGTGTCCAGAAAACATGGTTTCCTTGTATTCATTCACCACCTCTGGCTTTTAAGGTTTTGTGCCCCCTCTTCTACAATGATCTCTGAGCCTTTAGAGGAAAGGTTGTGATATGAGTGTCCCATTTAGGGATGAGCACTCTGCAGTCTCTTTTTCTCTGCATGTTAACCACTACTGGGTCTCTGTTAGCTGAAATCTGCTACAAGAAGAAGCTTCTCTGGTGAGAGTTGATAGATGTGTTAATCTGTGGTATAACAAGTCATTAGTAGTCAGTTTAATACTATCTCCATTTAGCAGAATAATAGTATTAGGTTCTCCCCTGCAGCTTATGACCTGTCTAGCCACAGTTTCCTGACCCTTATAACAAACTAGGTATGGTTGCACTTGAGGGGTAGAGGCAAGAAGATCCCCCAGTCTAAGGTTAGCCTAGGCTACATAAGACCCTGTCCCTCCCTTGGGAGTCAGAGGCAGGTGGATCTCTGAGTTCAAGACCAGTCTGGGACTACAGGGAGACCCTGTCTCAAAATAAATAAATAAATAAATAAACAAAATAAATAAATTTTTTTTTCTGGGAGGGGGAACAGGTTCTCTCTATCTATCCCTGGTTGACCTCAAACTCATAATCTTCCTGCCTCACCCTCATAAATATGAGGACTAGAGTTTGGATCCTTAGCACCCATGTAGAAAGCTAGGCACTGTAATCCAAGCACTCGGGCGATGGAGACAGAGGGATCCCTGAAACTTGCTGACCAGCCAGTCTAGCTGAATCTGTAAGCTCCAGGCTAACAAAATAAATAAATAAGTAAATAGGTAGAGGGTGATTGAGGAAGATAACGGACATAAACCTTTGACCTCCACACCCATGCCCATATATGTGTGCACACACACCCTCCAAAAAAAGCAAAGCTTCTAGAAGTGAACCCAGTTCTGTATGTGTTTAACAAGTACTCCAAGTTAACTTTGATACATGTTTAAGTTTGAGAAGAACTTGTTTTACCATTAGAGTTGTAGAAAGGAGCTTGTTAAAACCAAGTTATGGGCAACATTCTTAGGTAGCTCAAGAAACCAGTGGGTTAGGGGACTGGTGAGAAAGCTAAAGTCTCTCCAAGCAATCTATAGACAGGCTGTCTCCCCTTTCACCATCATTTAATCTATCCCTTTTTGCTGGAGCAGATCCTGCTCATGAGGGCACAGCAGAGGGCATGGAGAACATGGCAGATGCTGTCACTCATGCCCGTTTTGTGGGCACAGATCCTGCCAGCGATGAAGTTGTCCTGATGAAAATCCTTCAGGTAAGTGGGAGGGAAGAACAATTAGGCTAATGGCCAAGGGTTGGTGCTGCTGACTCTCCTTACCTCATTCTGTCCGCAGCACGAAGCTGTGTTTTGACTCCACTGGGGCTTAGAGACTGACTTTATTTCCAAACAAGCAGCTCAGGTACTCAGAGTAAAAGCTTTTTGTAAGGAAAATAATTAAGAGCTTTAAATGAATTGCTATCAAATACCAGAAGCCCTTAATACATTTGTACATCTGGCAGAGTGTATCTATATCATCCATCTGTTAGGTTTGTGGGCTAGAGATGGAATGAGTTATTAGCTATGTCAGAGTCCTGCAGAGTGAAGAAACAGTTCCCTGGTCAGCTCATGGAAGTCTCTACTTTCAGGCTGAATGAAGTAAGGCTAGCACTTGTTTAATTTTTTTTTTTTTTTTTTTTTTTTTTAAAAAAAAAAAAAAAAAAAAAAAAAAAAAGAGGACGATAAATCTTTCACTGTGATATATCAAAATAATATTTTTTTTTTTTTTTTTTTTTTGAGACAGTCTCTTGTGGCAGCTAAGGAAGAACTCTTGATCTTCCTGTTTCAACTTCCAAGTGCTGATTTTACAAGTGTGCACCATCATGCCCAGCTCTGAGGTCAGCATTCTTGCTAACTTTTCTTTTAAAATGCAACCCTAAAATCAGACATGGTAGTGCATACCTATAATCTCGGTACTTGGGAGACTGAGGCAGGAAGACTATAAATTCTAGCCCAGTCTGGGCCAAAAAAAAAAAAAAGGCAACAGGTGGGGAGAGACTCACACCTAGGCTGGGCACATAGCTTAGTGATAGAGCACTTACCTAGCATGTGTGAAGCACTGGACTTGAACTCCAGCACCATATTAAAGAAAAAAAAAAAGATAAAGGACTGAGAAGCTAGCTCAGTCTGTATCTGCCTGTCTTGCAAGCATGAGGACCTGTGTTTGATCCCCAGCACCCAGGTAAAAAGCTGGGAGTGATGGTGAGCACATTTGTAATTCCAGCACCAGCAAAAGAGACGGGAGAATCCCTGGGGCTTGTTGGCCAGCCAGTCTAGCCTGATTGGTGAGCTCTAGGCCAATGAGAGACACTGTCTCAAAAGAAGCTGGACTGCATTTCTGAGGTTAATACCCAAGGTTGTCCACACACACATTTTAAAAATAATAATAATAATAAAATAATTCACCCTTGGAGTGCTTTCCTAGGAGACTGAAGGAACACTAGGTGCCTTTTCTGCCTACAGGTAAACTTTACCTAGCCTATTTTGTTGATCACAGTGTCTCTTTCTTCCTTGTAGGTTCTCCGGACTCTGTTGCTAACCCCAGCGGGTACCCACTTAACCAATGAATCTGTATGTGAGATTATGCAGTCTTGCTTCCGGATCTGCTTTGAAATGAGACTCAGTGGTAGGTGCTTGAATGCACACTCTTTAACCACTCCTGGGTCCTGGGACCAGTATCCAAGTATGTATACGGGATGCTGTCTTTAAACCCCAAAGAGATGGGATTTCTCCATCATATCTACCTTGGGGGAGCCTTAGGGATTTTGTGATGTTGTAAAGCTAGAATAGAGATCTCAACCCATTATGTCAGGGTAGGCGTGAGGTTGAATCTTAGACTGACTCAGTTCCAGAACCAAATCTCCTCCCTTAAGGTTTCTGGGATTGACACCAGTGGATAACTGGAGAAAACCCATCTATTGTGCCTACTTTTTCTTGACTCAGTAGTACCACCTAGTGGTTCAGTAAAGTTATGACTACCAGAGTGAGCTGGAGCTGGTTTTAATAAGTTTGGCATAATCCTTGGTAAACACAGTTTGGAGGGGAGTCTGCTCTGAGAAGTCTCCTGATAATAGCACAGCAAGTGATGACACCTGTGTTATTTGTTTTTGCCCGTGCAGAGTTATTGAGAAAATCCGCAGAGCACACTCTCGTAGACATGGTGCAGCTGCTCTTCACAAGGTAAACCTGCTGCTGTTTGCTTCTGCCTGGCTGCCCAGCCCTCTTGAGTCTGCCTGCTTCCACATAGCCACTTTAGGGACCTGGCCATCCCCACAGCCACATCAGAAGCCACTGGGATTATGGATAGGAGTAGTTCTTTGGGCTCAGGGTTACTGAACAAGGGAAAAGGAAGAGAAAGCTTCTGTGGCCTTGGGGAGGCAGAGGGTTGTTTAATCTCTGTTTCCCAAACTTGTGTCTGTTTCTGTGCAGGTAGCATCTGGGTAAGGGAACCTAGAGAGGATACTAAACTTAAGACAGCCTGGAACAGGGTTGCTGAGCTTCCAGAGCTCTGCTGGATTTCTGTGAATGAAGGTCAAGGCTAGAACAACCAACAGTTGTAAAAGCTACTTAACTAGCCCTTTTTTTGCCCGGGTCTGTCCTGATTTTAGTAGTTAAAAGTTCCACATCCTGGCAAATCCCTCAGCCCCAGACAAACCATGATTGCTGATTATCCTAGGAAAGGCCCCTCATCCTAGAGCCTGAAAAGCCTTTTCGTCCTAGACCTAATTGCCTATTTCCTATACCTTCTTTGCTAGACTCATTTTGAGAACTGAAGCCATTTTTTTAATATTTTATTATTTTTTTATTTTATGTGTATGCATGTATTGCCTGCATGTAGGTAAGTGCGCCTATGTCGTACAATGCCCAAGGAGGACAGAAGAGGCTGTCAGATTCCCTGGAACTGGAGTTACAGATAGTTGTTAGCTGCCATGTAGGTGCTGGGAACCAAACCTGGTCTTCTGCATATATGTTAGCACATCCATGTCATGCAATGCCCACAAGGTCAGAAGAGGGCGTCAGATCCTCTAGAACTGGAGTTACGGATGGTTGTTAGCCACACGTGGGTGCCAGTAACCAAATCCAGGTCCTCTCAAGAGCAGCCAGTGTTCTTAACTGCTGAGCCATTTCTCCGGCCCCATGAAGCAATGATTTTTTGGGGGGAGGGGGGCTTCTTTTTGAGACAGGGCCTCCCTGTAGCCCCAGCTGTCCTAGATTCACTATGGAGACCAGGCTGGCCTCGAACTCACAGAGATCCGCCTGCCTCTGCCTACCGAGTGCTGGGATTAAAGGCATGCGCCACTACGCTCAACTGAAGCAATGATTTTTAAACCTCCCAATTCATTTATTTTTGCTTTCAGACTTATAGATAATAATCTCTATTCTCTACATATTAAACTGTCCTTAGACCCTGCTTCAAAGAGTTTCTTACTCCATGGGCTCAAATATACTGATTTTAAAGCATTGACCTAGCTGAGTGTGGTAGTACATGCCTTTGAACCCAGCACTCTGGAGGCAGAGAGAGAGGCAGATCTTTAAGATTGAGGCCAGCCAGGTCTACATAGTGAGTTCCTGGCCAGCTGGGGCTACAGGGAGATCCTATCTCAGAAAACAAACAAAAACCAACATTGACCTGCCTTTTACTCCTTTCTCTATACCTGATCTCTTGGTGTTTTTAAGATGCAGGTTACCCTATCTCTATCTCTTGGTATTCAGCAGTACTTTCCAAGTATGTAAAGAGCCTCCATACTCCAAGAGTGCTTAGTCACTCTGCTCCAGTGTTTACTTTCTTGGTCTATGCCATACATACCCCAATTCCTATGGCTCTGAAGCTCTGAAAGGGGTGGAATTAGCCTGTTTATCTATCTAGTTTTTCATAAGTCTAAGAGACAGAGATATTCTGGGCTAGGATAGCTTCAGCTCTGACTGACATGGAGGAGGACATTTATCATGTCCCTAAAGGCAGTCTGTGGCATTCTCTATCCTATAGGTTACCTCAGTTTAAAGAAGAACCCAAGAGCTATGTAGGAACCAACATGAAGAAGGTAAGATTTGAGAGTTCATCTGCTATTCCTTGTCCAAGCCTCCTTAACTTCCAAATTTCAGTACTATGGGATACTGTTGCTTAGTAGCAAAGACATGCTTTTGCCCTAAATAGGTCTACTTGTAATCTATAAATAGTTGTTACTTACTCCTTCAGTGAGAAATATAATCTCTCCCATACACCTCTCCTTCTATATAACCTTTCCTTTCTGGCCTGTCTTTTTTGACCCACCACATATGCTGATGAACCATGGAAACTGGATAAGGATTATTAGGCTGGGCTAAAAATGCATGTTGACAAAGATGAAAGTCTGGCCATCCCCTTGTGGCTCAGCCTTGTCAGCAAGTAAGAGTCCTAGAGAGGCCATGCCCCAGATCCTTCCCTATGAGTGGGTAAGACTGGGCTTGTGCAAGCTCTAGTCTCTGTTGAAGAGCTAAATCAAGCTAGACTCTAGCTCAAGGGTTCTTAAATTGCTAGACAAGAATGGTGGTCAGAAGGATGGCCTCTTTCTATCTTAAACTGAAGCTCAGGACTTCAAAGACCTCTGATGAGGTTCTACCCATGGACATGAACCTTGACTATGTGGTGCATGCACCTGACCTGCCCTTGTCCTCTACCATCCATCCCCATTCCTGCCCTGTGCCCTGTTGGCGCGTGTCTGAATTTATTTCATTCTGTTTAAATCATGCGTTTGCCTGTCTTTCACAGATTTCTCCATGTCTCCTCAACAAACTGGAGCTAAGTAGTGGGGAGCAGACCAAAGCCCTGAACCAATTAGAGAGGGTACTACTCTTTAAGAACCTCAAGGTCTCTTTCCCTCTCCTTCTCCCTCTCCCTCTCCTTTCCCTCTTTTTATTTATTTATTTAAATGTTTATTTTTTATATGTAATACTGGGTCCCATTTCTATTGCTCAGAGCAAAACTTACCCACCCTAGTAACACAGCTTGGCTTTCAAAGTTGCATGTGTTTGTAGCTTTGCAGTACTGGGAATTCACTGGGAGCTCTGGTTGCCTGGAGACAGAAGGAAGTCTGAAACATCATATAGTCACATAGAAAACCTAGAGAGCCTGGGTCCTGCTGTCATCTTGTGGGAAGGCTTAAGATCCACTATTTCTAGGGAAACTACAGGGACCTCCAAGCAAGACTCTTCTATCTTCTACTCTCTCCCTGTCTCAGAGCTGGTGTAGAGAGCTTAAGCATAGTCCTTGAGTCCTGGATACCGGGCTGTGTTGGTGGGGAAGGTAGTCCATCTAGTGAGGGTCTTTTATTTCTTGATTACATTAAAAGGATCATTCTAAGGTTTAGAACTCTACATTCATAGAAAGGAACCGAAATTTTTAAGACCTGCAAGATACCCTCTGTCCTTTAATTCAAAATGTAGGGGAGTTTAGGGCCCAGAGTACAAACTAAAGATTACCCTGATCTCGTATTCTTACCTTAGAAAGAAGAGGAAGAGAAAGGAATAGTGGCTAAGTTAACCATCACAAGAATATGTATGCTAGAGGTGTAGTTGTAAACATTCAGGTCATTGAAGATAAAATAACTCTGTGTGTGTGTGTGTGTGTGTGTGTGTGTGTGTGTGTGTGTGTGTGTGTTCCCTAGCTACAGCTGTGTCTGCGTCCTATTTGAAAATGCATTGTCTTGAGTTTTGTATGTTTGCATAGTTTCAAATTTCAACTCTCTTCAGTGGCTAGCCAGCATGTTGCCATGATTATTAATGCAGGATCTGTAATGTTTTGTAAAGCTGCTGCTCTCCCTTGGAATATAACATTGTATAGATAAGGGGGTATAGCATTCCATGAACACCTGCTGCCCATGCTGCACCTTAGAATATGAGGACAGGAAGCATAGCAATACTTTTCAAAGAGAGGCATTTGGGAGAACTGCTACACTCTAGGCTTCTATACCAGTCAAGAGGCCAAGAACACTCACTGAAATGACCTAATTGGAGCTAGCTTTGCAGAAGACAGAGGGAAAACAGGAAAGACTAATTCTTATATGGAAGGGACATCAATGACTGATTGTCATTCTCAGTAGAAGTAGGACTGATCCAGAGGAGCCTCATGGAAAGAAGGGTTATCTCATAAACCTTTAGTTGTTAGTACTTTCCTGAGCTCTGACAGTGGCTAGTAAAGCCAGGTATGTCCTTGTTTGTTCATTGATCTCTTGGGCTTCTTGCTCTCTGTATGTTTGTCCTATTCTTCTCCCAGATTTTTTTTTTTTTTTTTTTTTTTTTTTTTTTTTGTTGTTTTTGTCCTTTTTGTTTTTTTTTTTTTTTTTCCCCAGATTTTTTTTTTTTTTTTTTTTTTTACTATTTATGTAATCTACCTGAGCTTCATGGTTACTGGAGAGAGAGCATCCTTCTGATTCCTCTTTAGCCACAGAAGCTCAGTTTTAGGCAAATGACTGCAGGCATTTGGAGATGGAGGGACAAGAAATGTGAATCCAATGTGAAGCTGTTCCTTTGTTAAGAACTGGAGGAAAGGCTCAGTTTGGGGGCCTTGCTCCTGTATTGGAAGGAGATTTGGGTAAGGAAAGAATTATGTTTTCTAAGCAAGGGATCAAAAGCTATCAAAGTTCTGAAAGTAGGAGAACTTGAAGAAAGGATCCTGTCTCCAAATATATGAAGAAATTGAACAGATCCTTTAAAATTGCATCTAGGGATCCTGAGGATGGAGTTCACATGGTAGAATCCTTGCCTATTATTCACAAAGCCCTGGATTTGATCCCCAGCACCATATAAATGGGGTGTAGGGGCTCACACCTTAATCCCAGCATTTGGGAGGTGGAAGCAGGAGAGCCAGAAGTTCAAGATCATCCTTGGCTTCCTAGTGAGTCTGAGACTAGCTTGGGTTATGTGAGGCCCTATCTAAAAAATAATAGTAAAATAAAAGAAATAAAATGCATCTAGGAAGAACAGCAATAAGAACAGGAGATCTCAGTATATCAAAATTGGGAACAGCAGGATGAAAGACTCTCCCTCCTTCACAAATAAATTGGGATATAACTCTTTAGTGAATTAATCTTTGACAAATTTGGTATAGAAATTCCAGAGTAAGAGTTGTATTTATGGTCTATGTCCCCATCCATGCATTAGTAAGAAAGCTATGAATCTAGACAAGGAAGGAAGAGGTGCTCATAGTTGGACACAAACTAGAAATAGGAGGCTGCTCTACAGAGTGACTGAGGAAGAAAGCTCAGGAGTCCATGGGCCTGTAGATTTAAGACTCTGGACAAAAGTGCCCCTGCCCTTACCCTGTCTACAGGAGGGTCATGCATCATGTACAGTACAACAGGATTGCCTGTTGAATGTGACAGGACCCAGGGAAGCAGAGTGATAAGTGTGACAGCTGGCTATACTAGTGACAATCCAGAAGCAGACTGTTACCTTCTATATGTAGGCCACATGCCACTCCAGTAAGTGGCAAATGTAGAGGCATGGGAATGTAGTCTGATGATCTAGATTTCTACTTTAGCACAGATATGGGGTAGAAGCTGTTTTCTAGGAACCAGAAGGACTAAGTAATGAGACATTTCTAGGGATAATATCTTAGTTTGAATACTTTTTTAGTCTGGGTGCTAACAAGGTATGATTTTTCCAGCTGAAAATGAGAGCAGGAGGCATGAGTGATTCATCCAAGTGGAAGAAACAGAAAAGATCCCCCCGGCCTCCACGTCATATGACCAAAGTCATATCCAGTTCAGAGCTGCCCACCCCAAATGGAGCCACTTTATCCTCTAATCTTAATGGTGCGTGCCCTGGATTGCTTCCTCCGATTAGAAGAGATGGAAAGCAAAGACCCTTCTTTCTCAGGGATTTGAAATGGAAAGCCAACCAACTGAGGGGCTTTGACCTTTCTGTTGAGAGCAGAAAGGAAAACTCTAGATCAAATCAAACCATGACTGTTCAACAACTCTACAGTGACTTGAGATTGCTCTCCTTTCAGAGGAACTGTCACTGCTCTAGAGGCATTCACAGATGAGCATTCAGTCAGGAGCAGAGGCCCTGGTGCTCTGGAGGGCATATTTTAACCCATAGAGTCTATCTTGTCCTTCAAATTTCATTTACTTTCTTGTCAGGTGGCATGCCTTTCATTGATGTGCCCACATCCATCTCTTCTCCAAGTTCAGAAGCTGCCTCAGCAGTGGTCAGTCCCTCTACAGACAGTGGTCTGGAATTCTCCTCCCAGGCTACCTCCAAGGAGGACCTCACTGACCTGGAGCAAGCTGGCTCTCCAAGGGAAAACACAACTGCAGAGCCTGGGAGTAATGAGATAGGGGTTTCCGATCAACTCGATCCTCAGGTATTACTGATTTCTAAAGACCCCTCTCCAGTCTTCTGCTGTGAGAATTGATTTGGTCTTTTGGGTCCTTGTATCCAAGCCTTGACTCATAAGAAGGTTGGGATAGGGAGTTCTTCCCTATTTCCCACAATTAATTGTGTTGCCCAGAAAACCTACAGCTTGACTCACTGTGAAAAGCAGATTTGTCAAGGATGAATACAGGTAGTATCTGCAAGAGGGAGGGAGATGGCCATGCCTTTTACCCAAAGGTAATAATCTATATCCTAAACCTATAAGAACCTCTGCACCTCTAGGGTTCTGGTCACTGCAGATGAGTGATGTCTGGGATGTTTTCTGAGTCATCTTATTCCTTCCCTGAGCTATCTTGTATTGATTCATAAATCAACTTGGAAGACAGATATTTGAGGGGACTAAATTCTAAGTTGCCCTTGCCTCATTCCTTTTTCTATATCTAACTGCTGCTGATCGTAGCAGGAAGGAGCCCATGTGGAAAAAGCCCAGTCTGCATCAGTGGAATCCATCCCTGAAGTGTTAGAAGAGTGTACATCCCCTACTGACCACTCTGACTCTGCCTCTGTCCATGACATGGATTATGTCAATCCCCGGGGTGTGCGCTTTACACAGTCCTCCCAGAAAGAAGGTGAGTACTCTCTGGAAGGCTCTGTTCATTCACCTGCCCCATCCTACCCTCTAAACTGCTTGAGCCTAGACCAGCTTAGATAAAGGCAACTACTACCTATGAGCCCATTTCCTAGGCAAGAAATGGAATCAAGCCATAGAACTATTCACATGGATGGAGCCTTTCCCTAAGTTATACAGAGAGGAAGTTTGGTGAACCTATAAAGAGAGACTTTTTTTTTTTTGGCTTCTTTTCAGTTTATTGCATGAAGGAGTTACACTAGTCCAAGTTAAAAGTGGACCCCAAATGGTTACATTATACAAGCTGTGAGGTTTTTAAACTTGTGACAAGGGACAGAAGGGAAATTCTACTCATTGCTAGGAAATCCTCACTTAAGCTTCAGAGAGCCACGAGCACTTCAAACCTATGAACCTTCAGCTGATTATCCTTAGTTAGTCCTGTCTCTATCAGGAACTGGCATATGTTCTTGCACTGGTCAATCTATAGCTGAATTACTTCTCCATATTCTGGATACTCAATTGAAGTACCATTGCAGGCAAATTTGTTCTTAACCACCTTCACTAGTTTCTTTTTATCATAATCATCAGTGATCCCTTGGACAGTAGTAAGGGTCTTCCTGCCTTTTGTCTGTTGAATTCTTATATGGACATAATCCTCAGTGCCAGCAGGAAGCAGGTCATCACCCTTACTTGCATCAGCAAAGGGGTCAAAAAGAGTAGAGGTTCTGGATAGTCGACATACAATATGATTTCTTTTCCTCCATGGAAACAGCCTGTGGAAGGCAACTGCAGGAGAGGGTTGGGGATGGGAAGCGAGGTGGCTTGAGGGGGAGGCAGGTGAGTACTCAGTGGTGGCTCAGTGACTAGGGCTGGAAGCTTGGGACTTTTTTTTTTTTTTCTTGGTCTTTTTGAGACAGGGTCTCCCTGTAGCCCCAGCTGTCCTGGAACTCACTATGTAGACCAGGGTGGCCTTGAACTCACAGACATCCGCCTGCCTCTGCCTCCCAAGTGCCGGGATTAAAGTCATGTGCCACCACACCTGGCTGAAAGCTTGGGACTTTTAACCAAGATAACTTAATTCTGGGTCCATCCAACAAGTGAAGCTATTCTGTCACCTTCCTACTGTATGTAGGCAATGGATCCTTTTCCTTAAAAACATGGCTGCCCATGCCTGTAACCCTAGCATTGAGGGATAGAGACAGGTGGATCCTAAGAGCTTGCTGGCCAACCACCCTAGCCAAAACAGTGAGTTTCTGGTTCAGTGAGAGACCCCCATCTCAAGACAGTAAGGTAGAGAGCAATAGATGAACGTGGCCAACATCCTACTGTGACCTCCACATATATATGCATGGGCATGCACACCTGCATACTGCACATGCATGCACCCCCTCATACATACCACCTCCAAACACTGCACACACCACACACACAAATAAAATAAATTGCCATGGATAACACAGAGCAGACTAGGCTTCACTAGCAGGCTGGTTATTTCTAAGTAATCCTACTCTCCTCACTGTCCCAGGTACAGCTTTGGTTCCCTATGGTCTTCCTTGTATCCGTGAGCTCTTCCGCTTCCTTATCTCCCTCACCAATCCACACGACCGCCACAACTCAGAGGTCATGATTCACATGGGACTGCATTTGCTGACAGTGGCCCTTGAGTCAGCTCCTGTAGCCCAGTGCCAGGCTCTCTTGGGGCTCATCAAGGATGAGATGTGCCGCCACTTACTCCAGGTAAGACTAAGCTGCTCAGAGACCTTGGTTAGTTTCAAGGTTGAAAAGCCAGGAAAGCACCATGACTACTGATCCCAAGAAACCATCCCCCTCCCATTTGGTCAGGAGTTATAAGTAAAAAGGAATGGCTAAATCAAGAACTCTCTTAGAAACCCAGAAGTGGTGGTGCATGCCTATAATTCCAGAATTTGTGAGATAGAGGCAAGAGGATAAGGCGTTCAAGATGGTATGGTTTTGAAGCCAACCAGAGCTACATGAGAGACTGTCTTAAAAAAAAAAAAAAAAAAAAAAAGCATAGTCCCAGTACTTGTGAAGCAGAGGCAGGCAGATCTCTATGAGATCAAGACCAGCCTGGTCTACACAGTGAGTGCCAGGCCAGCTGGGGCTACAGGGAGACCCTGTTTCAAAAAGACAAAAACAAGGGCCCGGGCATGGTGGCTCACACCTTTAATCCCACCACTTGGGAGGCAGAGGCAGGAGGATCTCTGTGAGTTCAAGGCCAGCCTGGTCTACATAGTGAGTTCCAGGACAGCTGGGGCTACAGGGAGACCCTGTCTCAAAAAGACCCCCCCCCAAAAAAAAGACCAAAAAAGGCGAAAAGCCAGGGTTGGCACATAAGGAAAAAGAGTCTTCCAAGCCTCTGGAAACTTGCTCATATGACCTTACAGCAATGTTGACAGCATGCATAAAACCCATGCAAACTCAGGCCAGGAAAAAAAAAAAAAAAAAAAAACATCATAGAACTGGGGAAATGGGCAGGAGCCCCCAACATTAGCAAGGAGCTATTGGCAGCTGATTACTGCAGGGTGAGGAAGAGTAGATCTTCTTTAAGGGAGGGACTCTAGATAGGCTAACTAGACTCACTCCACTGGATGAACTCACACTGAGGGACATCTGGGTATACACCCTTGACTCAGTAGGCCTTAACATATATGACAGAATGCATGAAATCCAGTCGGGGGAGGGGGATATAGGGGAATGTGGACAGGGGAGGGGGTATAAATATGATTAAGATGTATGAAATGCACAAAAACTCAATAAGAAAATCTACATTGAAGGGGAAAACAAAGCAAACAACAACAAAAGCAAGAGTTCCCTTAGAGAACTGGCCCTCTGTTACTTTTAGTTTGCTCTCCTTCTCTTGACCTCCTACTCTCTGATCTCCAGCTACTCAGTGTGGAGCGGCTGAATCTTTATGCTGCTTCCCTGCGAGTATGCTTCTTGTTGTTTGAAAGCATGCGGGAGCACCTCAAGTTCCAATTAGAGGTACGTTTTTTGATGTTGGAAGTTTTTTTTTTTTTTTTTTTTTAAGGGGGATTTTCGTTTTCATTTGTATTTCCTTTTCAGTGGCAGCTAGCTCAATCATGCTATAGTGATAGATATTTGTGAGTTTCCTATAGAAGATTTTTTTTGCCTCTATACTTTGTTTCATTGCCCAGGCTCGGTAGAATAGTTGAAAGGATTCCAGACAAGACTAATTGGCTGTAAAGTGGGAGAACCTGGTGCTGGGTGTGATGGCTCATGCCTGAAATCCCAGCACTTGGGAGGCTGAAGGAGGAAGATTGCCATGAGTTCAAGGCCAGCTTGGACTACATAGTTTTCAGGCAGCGTGGACTACATAGTTTTCAGGCAGCCTGAACTACAGAGTAAGACCCTGTCTCAATAAATGCATAAATAAATGACAAAAGTGGAAGAACTCAAATATGAGGACTGACAGGTAACCTCACCATGAATGGGAACGGCTCTTCTGCCTAGCAGTTCCTCTTATAAATCAGTCCACCATTGCTGCTAAATTGCCAAAACAGCCTCTAAATAAGTCTAGGATAGGCTCTTATACACAGTACAAAAAAAGGAAAATAAGCAAATTCTTTGAGACTGGGCATAAGAACAAGAGCTAGGCCTTTTTGTCCATCATGGAGACAGAGAGGGTATTATATTGTTGAGGAATGAGTACCTTCAGGTATCTCTTAATGCATGTCTCCTGGATGAACTTCTGCTTCCTGTTTAATGTTCTTCCCGTCCAATTTGCTCTTCTTATCTGTAATCTTTTCCCCACTCAAATGGCAATCAGATGTACATCAAAAAGCTAATGGAGATCATCACTGTTGAAAACCCCAAGATGCCTTACGAGATGAAGGAGATGGCACTAGAGGCCATTGTGCAGCTCTGGCGTATCCCCAGCCTTGTCACCGAGCTCTACATCAATTATGATTGTGACTACTACTGTTCCAACCTCTTTGAGGACCTCACTAAGCTGCTGTCCAAGGTGCTGAAAACTCTCATTTGCCTCTAGAAAGAAGCTCTATTAAGGAAATCTCCCTAATGGTAGTAATAATGGTACAGGGAGGGGATTCAGAGATGGGGAACAGGAAGAAGAAATGCATTTGTAAGGGCAATGGAGAAGTTGTAAGTTTTTGGATTTTTGGAAAAATAATTAGGTAAAGTATTTTCTTCTACCCTCAAGTTTAATGGATCTGTTTACTTTCCAGAATGCTTTCCCCGTGTCTGGTCAGCTCTATACAACACACCTACTGTCTCTTGATGCCCTGTTGACAGTTATTGACAGCACTGAGGCTCACTGCCAGGCTAAAGTCCTCAATAGCCTCACCCAGCAAGAGAAGAAAGAAATAACCAGACCCAGCTATGAGGCAGTAGATGGCACCCAAGAAACTAGCAATTGTGAGAGGCATCTCTTATTTTCTTTTTCTTTTCTTTCTCTTTTCCCCTCTCTTCCTTTCCCCTCCTTACTTGGTCTTGCATTTGTTCCATCAGTGCTGGTGCCCTATATAGGAGCATATAGCTCTTCTCATCCTGGGACTCAACCTCATCTGTGGTACTTCCTACCTATAAGGCTTAATGTCTTTTCTTCTTACCAGCTGAGAAAACAGCCAGTGATGGGAAAGCCACAGGCATGACCCTAGATGCCCCAGGCCTGCATCTTCCAAGTGGAGGATGGCTGTCAACAGAACATGGGAAGCCAGGATGCAGCAATCTGGAGGAAGCTGGTGACTCTGGGGGTGGGTACTCAGTGTCCATAACCCTAAACCCATTCAACTAGAGGGCTTAGAGAGAGAGAGAAGGAGGCGAACAGAGTGGCCTGAGGTCATGCCTGAATAAGCCCTAGCAGCTCACCTTGTTTGAACCCCAGAGAAAGGAAATGAAACATTTGAAGTTGCAGAAGGTAGAACTTCCAGCAGGTAGGAGACTAATGAGGACAAGAACATTTCTGAGGTTCCTCCTTGTCACTGGAGAGAGCTTGGGAAGAGTTAGTGACCTTCTAAGAGGTCTTATGACTGTTTCTGTCTTCTTTCCTAGGTGACAAAAAGTTTACCAGGAAGCCACCTCGATTTTCCTGTCTTCTGCCAGATCCAAGGGAGCTAATTGAGATTAAAAATAAAAAAAAGGTACATGCATCAATATATTCCTCAAAGTTCAGCTTCTTTCCACCCCTGTGTGGTGTCCTCTGTAAGGTTTCTATTGCAGTGGATGAGGATGAGGGAGATCTTAGCAGCTTGTTTTACAACTTCTTGTGATATGGAGGCTGGCTTGGTCTACATAGTGAATTCTAGCTATCTGAGGCTACAGAGAGACCCTGTGTCAAAACAATAAAACAAACCATGTCCTAAGAGCTCATTAGGTAGCCAGCTGTGGGCTATAGTATTCTCTGGCCTGGCCTTATCTGACTTGAGGGTAAGGTAACTTCTGACACCTCTAATCTTTCCCTTTTAGCTGCTCATCACTGGCACAGAGCAGTTCAACCAAAAACCAAAGAAAGGGATCCAGTTTCTTCAGGAGAAAGGCCTCCTCACCATCCCAATGGACAACACAGAGATAGCCCAGTGGCTCCGAGAGAACCCTCGACTAGACAAGAAAATGATTGGAGAGTTTGTGAGTGACCGCAGAAACATTGACCTGTTGGAGAGTTTTGTGAGGTGAGGGAAATATAAGTAATCAGGTATAAGTGATGGGGATTCTAGTATAGCTCGGTGATAGTGTGCTCAGTTAGCATACATGAAACCATAGGTTCAATCTCTAGTTTCACACAAAGAAGGAGAAATGCAGGAGAGGGGAGAGGAAAAAAAAAAAAAGAAAGGAAGGCAGAAAGGAAAAGAAAGAAATGTCTGCAAGGCCAGAGCATTCTTCTTTCCAAGTAGTCTCTATCAGTTTCTGCTGATGACCACTTCACATACTCTGCCTCTTCCCAAGATTCATATCTGTTGGACCTGAAAAGGACTAAAGCTTTAAGAGCCCCCTCCTGTGTCCTGATTGAAAGCATTGCAAATGGGGTAGAGCAAGGTTCTAAAGAGTGAGGTTTCTAGGCAACAGCTTTGCTAATGTGGTAAGTGCTAAAAGGTTGGGGTTTTTGTTAGGAATGGCTAGAGAGAACATCCTTTTCAGAGCTATTATCCTCTTCTGTTCCAGTAGGAGAAAGTTAAGGAGACTGTGACTAACAGAGTCCAACCTATGCAATTTCCATACCTTCGGCCTCTTCATTTTGTTTCCTTTCTCTGCAGCACCTTTAGCTTTCAGGGTCTGCGGCTTGATGAAGCTCTCCGCCTCTACCTGGAAGCCTTCCGTTTGCCTGGGGAAGCACCAGTCATCCACAGATTGCTGGAGGCATTCACAGAGCACTGGAGGGTGAGTCTGAGTATCAGAAGCTAAGTCCAGCATCCCATGTCAGTTTGAGGGCTTCTGTATCTTCTCAACTAAAAACTGGAGCTTTTGTCTCCTAAGAAGGCTGAGAGCTACTAGTGGTGAAAGCATATCAATGGGCTTTCAATGGACCAACCAACTTCTGTTAAGGAGTTGGCAAAAGCTTGGCTACTTTCTTGGTGATACCTCCTCTATGTACCAGCACTGATCAGTGGATTGGTAGTGAGGGTGTAACTGGCCAGAAAAAGACATTGACACAGATGGGGGTCTTTGCTTTTTCAGAAGTGTAATGGCTCCCCATTTGCCAATAGCGATGCTTGCTTTGCCCTGGCCTATGCCGTCATCATGCTTAACACTGACCAGCACAACCACAATGTTCGCAAACAGAATGCACCCATGACCCTAGAGGTAAGCTTGGGTCCCAACCAAGATAGAGAAGCTCCAGCACAACTTTGGAAGTTGCCAGAAAGACAGATTTCCAGTGTCCATGGGGAACAGGGTTCTGTCAAGGGAATCCGGGAGAGCTTACTAATTCAAAAGAGGAACTGGATTGGAGAGTTGGGTTCTTTCACTTAATTGTTTCCAAAGTCCTATTCATCACAGACTCAAAGAGTTTCTTGGGTAGGATACAGCATTGACACAGGAAAAACTTATTGACTTACCTGTAGGAGTTTCGAAAAAACCTAAAAGGTGTGAATGGAGGCAAGGATTTTGAGCAAGACATCTTGGAAGACATGTACCATGCCATCAAGTGAGTATATATGGAGAATAATGCAGCATCTCTATTATAAGAAACACATTGCTTCTTTTTCTAGTTTTTAGACTGCAGTGATTCATCTGTCCTGGATTTAGCCTTGAAACTTAGATGAACAGCCTTCTCTCTACCAACTTTTTTTAATTGTTGTTTTGCTTTTTTGTCTTTTTGAGCCAGGATCTTCCTGTAGCCCCAGCTGGCCTGGAACTCACTATGTAGACCAGGCTGGCCTTGATCTCATAGAGATCCGCTTTGCCTCTGCCTTCCAAGTGCTGGGATTAAAGGTGTACACCTCCATGCCCAGCTCATTTCTTTAGAAAAACCTGAACAATATTGGGAATGTAGTATTCCAAGCTTAGGTCCAAACGAACTGACCCTCCTGTGTGTGTGTATCTGTGTGTCTGTGTGTTGCTGGGAATTGAAACCAGAGCAGAAACTAAACATGTGCTTTATCACTAAGCTACATCCCCAGGCCAGACCATTTCTCTTAGGTATCATGACCCTATTTCCTGAACTTAAAGCAGCTGTTTTTTGTATGTTTTGTTCTTGTTACATTGGCTTTATTTTTAAAATTCTATTTTGTAGTATTAGCTTCCTTTTATTGGTATTCTTGAATATACTATTCATTCAATAAATGAGTTAATGAATTTCAAAAAATAAAAAGCTGCTGATTTTCCTGTAGAGCTTACAAGATGCATTCTCTAATTGGTTAAAAAATAATAATAATAAGACAGCCGGTAGAGGGTAAGACTTAAGTCAGAGATAGTTCTGTTGTTGTTGTTGTTGTTGTTGTTAATATTATTATTATTTTGAGATAGAGTCTCACATAGCCCAGGCTGGACTCAAACTCACTATGTAGCTGAGTCTGACCTTGAATTCTTGATCCTCTTTGCCTTAGCCTACCAAGTGCTGTATTATAGGCCTGTGTCACCTCGCTCGGCTTAGTTTTTTATTAGAAATCAGAAAAGGTAGAATTGTTTACCCTCTCTACCCAGAAGGAATATGAGATCTTAGTACAGATCTGGAGACTCTACAAGTAAAGAGAGGACTTAGAGATTATGAATTCTTTCTTTCTCCCTGGCCCCATCAATGGGTAGGAAACAGATTGCTTAACTGCAGTTTTGATGGCTTCATATTGATAGATGTCTGTATAGGTGAAGCCCCTTTTCCTAGTTTGGAACCAGTCATGTTCACAGTAATGTACCTTATTCTTCCCTTACCTTCTGACAGGAATGAGGAAATTGTGATGCCTGAAGAACAGACAGGCTTGGTTCGTGAGAACTACATGTGGAATGTGCTGCTTCATCGAGGGGCTACCCCTGAGGGCATATTCCTTCGTGTGCCTCCTGGCAGCTATGATCTTGACCTCTTCACTATGACCTGGGGCCCCACTATTGCTGCTCTCTCTTATGTCTTTGACAAAAGCCTTGAGGAGACCATCATCCAGAAAGCCATCTCAGGTTTCAGGTAACCTGGTCTATGTCTTCACATCCTTCCACCTCTCTACATCAACATACTTGCTTCCATGCTTCTTTGACTCTTGCTCTTACTTTCTTAGAAGGGAATTTCTTCTGGTTTTCTGGAGGGATACTGAACCTTGGGAAATCTCAGTCTTAAACTGGGTTAAGGGGACTGGAGAGATAGCTCAGCAGTTAAGAACACTGGTTGTTCTTGAGGAGGATCCAGGTTTGGTTCCCAGAATCCACATGGCAGCTAACAATGTTGTGTTAATAACTCCAGTTCCAGGGGATCTGACACCCTCTTCTGATCTCCATAGGAACTGCATACATGTGGTACACTTACATACATGCAGGCAAAGCACTCACACATAAAATAAAAACAAGCAATTTTTTTTTTTTTTTTTTTTTTGGTCTTTTTGAGACAGGGTCTCCCTGTAGCCCCAGCTGTCCTGGAACTCACTGTGTAGACCAGACTGGCCTTGAACTCACAGAGATCTGCCTGCTTCTGCCTCCTCTGAGTGCTGGGAATAAAGGCATGTGCCACTACGCCCCAGCAATAAGTAAATTTTTTTAAAAATTTAAAAACAAACAGGGTTGGTCTGGGCGTGGTGGTGCACGCCTTTAATCCCAGCACTCAGGTGGCAGAGGCAGGCAGATCTCTGTGAGTTCAAGGCCAGCCTGGTCTATATAGTGATTTCTAGGCCAACTGGGGCTATAGGGAGACCCTGTCTTAAAAAGACCAGAAAAAAACAGAGGGTTAAAGTTTCTTTCTGGGACCCATTGGGAAAGAACCAATGGAAGCCTTAGGGGCTTGAAAGGGATGCTTGGCATTCCAGTGACTCTCTTTCTGTGACGGGGGTGACATTACAGGAAGTGTGCCATGATCTCCGCCCACTATGGCCTCAGCGATGTGTTTGACAATCTCATCATCTCTCTGTGCAAATTCACAGCTCTCAGCAGTGAGGTGAGTTGGAGTAGGAACTGTGCTTGGAGTTCCAAAGGTGAGCCCCTCAGCCATGGAGCCATCATGTCTACATCTACCCCCTTGACTACACCAAAGTTTAGGCTATTTTTATCTTGCATACTCTGAATAGTGTCACTTAATGTAATGGGATGGGGAGGAGATGCAATAGGAAAGACCTTAACCAGGTTAACGTTTCCCATCAGTATTATGGGGGATTTGGAGCAAAGCTAGCAGGAGGATTCTCAGGGAATGCTAGGCAGAAACCTGAAAGAGTCTCCTTTCCAGATATTAATCAAGCCTTAAGCTTCTTTCATCCTTTTTTCCAGTCTATTGAGAACCTACCCAGTGTATTTGGAAGCAACCCTAAAGCCCACATTGCTGCCAAAACAGTCTTCCATTTGGCCCATCGTCATGGTGACATCCTTCGGGAGGGCTGGAAGAATATCATGGAGGCTATGCTGCAGCTCTTCCGAGCCCAACTATTACCCAAGGCTATGGTGGAGGTAATTCTTTCTTCAGTCTTCTTGAGACAGGGTCTCCTGTAGCCCCAGCTGGCCTGAAATTCACTGTGTAGACCAGGCTGGCCTCAGTCTCACAGAGATTCACCTGCCTCTGCCTGGTGGAGGTAATTCTTGATAGAGTATTCAACATTAACAAGACAAGAGCCAGCATTTTGTGCTATGTATAGAATTGGTTTTTGAATAACACTAGACTTGATATTTGCCAAAGCATCCTGCCAAAGGTGCCAGGAACATCTCAAATGTAATACTAGAGATCTCAGAGAGAAGCTGTAAAGGAAGACTGGTAAAAGCCATTATCAGTCCCCTCTTGGAAGGGGCACAATAATGTAAGATTAGTCTACAGGAAGAAATCCAGAAATTTTGCTTGGACCAGGAAATGCATGAAATGCAAAAGATATACAAAAAGACTTTATTGTTGTTGTTGTTGTTGTTGTTGTTGTTGTTGAGACAGGGTTTCCTAGGCTGGCTTTAAACTTCCTATGTAAATCCTGCCTCAGCCTCCTCAGTGCTGAGATTACAGGCATATGCCACCAGGCCCATCTAGAAATAAATTTAATTATTCTTGACCTACTTTTTCCAGATAGAAGATTTTGTAGATCCCAATGGCAAGATCTCTCTACAACGGGAGGAGACACCATCAAATCGGTAAGGGCAGACCAGAAACTGTGGGCCTTGGGAGAGTAGGCAGTCAGAGTGTTGGAGCTTGCCAGGACATGTATCCTTTTCCTTCAGAGGAGAGTCAACAGTACTTAGTTTCGTGAGCTGGCTAACACTGAGTGGTCCTGAGCAGTCTAGTATGCGGGGCCCATCTACTGAGAACCAAGAGGCCAAGAAAGTGGCTTTGGACTGCATCAAGGTAACTGCCTGTTCATCCCTCTTGAGAAATCCTAGACCCCTCCCTTCTAGAAAGATGTGGCTCTATGAACTAAAGAATAGAATCATTCAGAGCTTGTGACTAGGACAATTCTGCCCTCTTTCACTGGCTCTTGAAAACATTCTCTTCCCCTTAGCCATCTCTCTTGTGTCCCCTCTAGCAATGTGACCCAGAAAAAATGATCACAGAAAGCAAGTTCCTCCAGTTGGAGTCACTGCAGGAGCTCATGAAGGTATAAGCTGAAGATGGAAAAGAGAAAAGGGAAAGCCAGTTGGGTCTGAGGGTCAACAGGGGTAGTGGTCTATGCCTCAGCTTCTGTTGGGACAGAACCAGTAGCTACCTTCCCCTCCATTCCTACTCTCCTGCTGCTATTGCCCTCCAGGCTCTGGTCTCAGTGACACCAGATGAAGAAACATATGATGAAGAAGATGCTGCTTTCTGTCTGGAGATGCTGCTCAGGATTGTATTGGAGAACAGGTAGGAGAAGGAAAATGAAGTCAGACTTTAGGCAGACCCTATCTGAACTTACGCTAAAAGGATGGAAGCCTTCTTTCTGAATAGCCTCTGGGGGCAAGAAACACATGAAACTATGAACAGTTGAGCAGAGCTCATTGTACCTGACAGATAAGGGTATAATACCAGTGAGCCATGAAAGCTTTAGGAGTCTTATTACCCAATGACTTCTCCAACTAAGACTGTCTTCATCCCTATGATCTCTGTAGGGACCGTGTAGGCTGTGTATGGCAGACTGTTCGAGATCATCTATACCACCTATGTGTTCAGGCACAAGATTTCTGCTTCCTTGTAGAGCGGGCAGTGGTAGGATTGCTACGTTTAGCCATTCGGCTGCTCCGAAGGGAAGAGATCAGTGGTCAGGTAAGCAAGTATATCCAGGAGGGTAGGCAAGTATGCAAGGGGCTGAGGCCACAGTATGAGTTATGTGTATGGCCTAAGGTCAAGAGTGCATTTAATGTCCTATAGCATGACTAACCTCAGGGCTGGTACAGTCTAACAGGTGGCATTGAGGGTGAGCTTGAAACAACCTTAGACATGAAGCTAGTAGCACACATGTAGGCTCCTTGAAGTCTGCTTTATAAGGTTGGACTGCAGCAGTCTTGTAGCAGTCCTAGTCCTTTATCTTATATCTGGTTTCCTGTTTCTTCCTGTGTGTGTGTGTGTGTGTGTGTGTGTGTGTGTGTGTGTGCTTTTCTGAACAGGGTATCATTCTGTAGTGGTTTCTTGTTCTTACATTTAGAACTCTTAAGGATAAGATCTCATGGCTCAAGTATAAAAAGCAACCATCAAAGAACAATAATTACAGTCAGCCAGACATGGTGGCATATATCTTTAATCCTAGCACTCAAGAGGCAGAAGCAGACAGATCGGTGTGAGATCCATGACTGCCTGGTCTACATAGCAAATTCCAGCCCAGATGGGTCTACAGGGAGACCCAGTCTCAAAAACAAATAATAATAATAACAATAATAATAATAATTAGGTTCAACATACCACAAGATTTATAATCAATACACAAAAATTAATCACAACAGTTTCCACATGGCAAGTATGAATATAGGGAAGCAGAAATAAGAATACGCCAGGCATGGTGGCTCACGCCTTTAATCCCAGCACTCGGGAGGCAGAAGCAGGCGAATCTCTGTGAGTTTGAGGCCAGCCCGGTCTCCATAGTGAATACAGGCCAGCTGGGGCTACAGGGAGACCCTGTCTCAAAAAAAGCAAAAAGAAAAAAAAAAGAAAAAATAATGCAATTCCAGGGGTCTGGAGAGGTGGTTTAATGATTGAGTATGTATTACTCTTACAGAAGACCCAAGTTTGGTGCCCAGCATCTGTATCAGGCAGCTCACAACCACCTATAACTCCAACCCCAGGGGATCCAATACCCTCTGGCCCCTGAGAGCACCCATATACACATGCTAATATATACACACAGACATATACGTGTGTAAATAAATCTTTAAAAAATAATAAAATGGGGGCTGGAGAGATGGCTCAGTTTTTAAGAGCACTGGCTGTTCTTGCAGAAGGCCCAGGTTTGAATCCCAGCACCCACATGGTGGTTAACAACCATCTGTAACTCCAGTTCCTGGGGATCTGATGCCTTCTTCTGTCCCCGTCAGGCCAACATGGATACACTTGCATACATACACACATACACATAAAATTTTTAAAAAGAAAAGAAAAAAGTAAATATTTTTTAAAAATAATAAAATGAGGGGCTGGAGAGATGGCTCAGTGGTTAAGAGCACTTGACTGGTCTTGCAGAGGACCCGGGTTCGATTCCCAGCACCCACATGGCGGCTGCGAACCGTCCTTAACGTCAGTTCCAGGGGAATCCGAAGCCCTCTTCTGACCTCTGCGGTATTGCACAACATGGGTGCACTCACATACATGCAGGCAATACACTCATACACATAAAATAAAAATAAAATATTAAAAAAATAAAATGAAATAATGCAATTCCATACTGAGTAGCTAGACATGGTGACTCATATCTGTGATCCCAACATTCAAGAGATGGAGACAGACAGATTACTAGGAGTTCAAGGCATATTGTGAGTTCCAGGATAGCCAGAGCTACAGAGTTGAGTCCTTGTCTCAAAAAAAAGAAAAGGCAGGACTTAGCAGCACGTATTTTTATTAGCAGCACTTGCGGAAGTAGAGGCAGAGGAGGATCAGGAGTTCAAGACCAGCCTCAGCTCCATAATAATTCAAGGGAAGCCTAGGTTATATAAGTCACTGTCTCACAACAACAATACAAATGGAATACCACTTACAAGTACTTCAACTAAAGTAAAATACTTAGATGCACATCTTACAAAGCATAAATAGCATTTGTATGCTAAAAATTACAAAACGCAGCCAGGTATGGTAGAGCACATCTTTAATCTCAGCACTTGAAAGGCAGAGGCAAACAGATCTCTGACAGTTTGAGGCCAGCCAGGGCTTACATAGTGAGGACCTGGCTCAACAGCAAAAAGTTACAAAATGTTATTTAAAGAAACCAAAGACCTAAATAAATCAAGAGGCCATACCACAGATTAGAAGACTCAACATAATAAAGATGTCAATTCTCCCTCCCCAAATCAGTCTATAAATATAATACAGCTCCTCTAAATATCCCAGACAAGATTTGTGTAGGGATAGACAAGCTTATTCTAAAATTCAGATGGAAAGGCATAGGCCCTAGAATAGCCAAACATTTTGGCAAAGAATAAATGGGAGGAATAATCCTACCTGGTTTTGGTGGTGGTGTTATTTTTTAAATTTTTTTATTTATTTGTGAGTGTATGTGGCTGGGTGGGTATGTGTGTTTATGTGCCACAGGTGCTTCTATGGAGGTCAGAGAACAAGTCTCCTTCCACCATGTAAATCTTGACTTTCAAATTCAGATCATCAGGCTTGACAGCAAGAGCCTTTACCTACTTAGCCATTTCACTGGCCTGGACTTTTTGTTTGTTGATTGGTTGGTTAGTTTATGTTGTTGGTGGTAGTAGTGGTGATCATGGTGGTGCTGAAACAGGGCTTCACTATGTAGCCCTGGTCTTACTAGTATGACATAGCATGTAGTTCAGGGTGGCCTCACAATCTTCCTGCCTCAGCCTCCCTCAACTGGGATTACCATTGTGCATCACCATACTTTGCTATTCTATATCATGCTAAGCTTCATGGTAGTCAAGATTATGTAGTATTGATGAAGAGATAGACAAGTAGATCAGTGGAACAGATAAATAATCCAGAAGTAGATTCACACAAATACGTTCAACTGATAGTTCATTGTTGTTGTTTAAGTTTGGTTTATGGGGTTTTTTTTCTTATTTTTCCTTTTTTTAAATAAAATTTTTGTGAATTTCATACAATCTATTTTGATCATTTTTAGATCCCCTTCCATATCTGTACCCCCCCACTTACTAAACCCCACCAAATTTCCTATACTCTAATGTGTGTGTGTGTGTGTGTGTGTGTGTGTATGTGTGTATAAAAATCTACAGAGGGGGTTGGAGAGATGGCCCATTAGTTAAGAGCACTGGCTGCTCTTATAGAGGACCCAGGTTCAGTTCCCAGCACCCACATGGTGGCTAACAACCATCTGTAACTCCAGTTCCAGGGGATCAGACACCCTCTTCTGGCCTCCATAGGTTTGCATACACACTGTGCACTTACATACATGCAGGGGAGACATTCATCCACATAATAAAAATAAGTAAAAATTTAAATAAATAAATAATAAAATAAATAAATAAATAAATAAATAAATAAATAAAATCCATATAGTCAGGTTTATGTTCCCAAATGCCCTTAGGTGTTGGTTCATTCACCAGAGCCTGGTCAGATTACCAAGAATCTCACTCTTAAACAAGACTGAATCTCCCCTTCCCAGAAGCCATCCAATACTAATAGTTCCTTAGATAAGATTGAAGTCTCTTACCCACTTCCCCACATCTATGCTGGGATTATCTGGCTTGAACTTCCATGGAATTTGTGCATTCTGTCATCATTGGCTGTGGGTTCATATGAGTAACTGACCAGCTGTCTGGAAAACTGTTTCCTTGTGGTCATCCACCTCCTCCAGCTCTTACAATCTTTCTGCCCCCTCTTCCACAATGATCCCTGAGCCTTGAGAGACAGAAGTTTGATACAGGTGTCCTATTCAGGGATAAGCAGTCTACAGCCTCTTATTCTATATAGGTGCAAAAATTCTCAATAAAATACTCAACTGAATGCAAAAACACATCAAAAAGCTTATCTACCATGATCACATTGTCTTTGTTCGAGAAATGCAGGAATGGTTCAACATACATAAATCAGTAACTGTAATCTACCATATAAACAGATTCAAGGACAGAAACCATATTATCATCTCATTTGATATAGAAAAGGCCTTTGACAAAATCTACCATCCATTCATGATAAAAGTCATGTAGAATCTAGGAATACAGGAGACATATCTCAACATAATAGAGGCAATATATACAACAAGCCCACAGCCAACATTAGGCTAAATGGAGAAAAGCTCAAAGAATTCCCATTAAAACAAGACAAGTATGTTTTCTTTCTCTACTCCTGTTCAGTATAGAATATGAAATGTTAGCTAGAGCAATAAAACAAATGAAGATAAAGGGGATACAGATTGAAAAGGAATATAGTTTAGTTTTTGAGACAGGATCTCATTACATAGCCTAAGCTGGCCATCTTCTATTTCAATCTCTCAAATGAAAAAAATAAATAAATAAGCTGGGCATGGCGGCACACAACTTTAGTCCCAGCTCTTGATAGGTAGAGGCAGGTGAATCTCTGTGAGTTCAAGGCCAGCCTGGTCTACATAGTAAATTCCAGGCCAGGTGGGACTACAGAAAGACCCTGTCTCAAGAGCAAAGGAAAAAAAGAAAATAAAAAATTTGACTTAAACCTCAAAATTTATGGTAAAAGTAAATAAATGAGAGATTTAAATGCATAAATATAAAACCTTTAAACACAGGAGAAAATCTTAGGATCTAGAACTAAAGATTTTTTTTTTTTTTTGGCCTTTTTGAGACAGGGTCTCACTGTAGCCCCAGCTGTCCTGGAACTCACTATGTAGACCAGGCTGGCCTTGAACTCACAGAGATCTGCCTGCCTCTGCCTCCCGAGTGCTAGGATTAAAGGCGTGCACTACCACGCCCAGCATCACTGTATATTTACCAAAATAGCTGACACTGAAAATGACAATACCAGGCTGGGCGTGGTGGCACATGCCTTTAATCCCAGCACTTGGGAGGCAGAGGCTGGTCTACACAGTGACATAGTGAGTTTCTGAATTCCAGGCCAGCTGGGGCTACAGGAAGACCATCTAAAAAAAAAAAAAAAAAACGGTTATTTTTAACTTTTTTTTTTTTTTTTTTGGGGGTTTTTTTTGTGTTTTTTTTTTTTTTTTTTGGGGGTTTTTTTTGTGTTTTTTTTTTTTTTTTTTGGGGGTTTTTTTTGTGTTTTTTTTTTTTTTTTTTGTCTTTGAGACAGAGTCTCCCTGTAGCCACAGCTGGCCTGGATTCAATATGGAGACCAGGCTGTCCTTGAACTCACAGAGAGATCTGCCTACCTCTGCCTCCCAAGAGCTTGGGACTAAAGGCATAATCATGCCGGACTATTCATACATTTCTGATGGAAATAAATAATACAGCTACTCTATTTTCAGCTTAAAAAAAAAAAAAAAAAACTGAACATGCGATTACCATATAATCCAGCAAATGCACTCTTGGCATTTATCCCAGAAAAATGAAAGCTTCTTTTATCATAAAAATATGTACATAAGCCAGGTGTGGTGGTACACTCCTTTAATCCCAGCACTTGGGAGGCAGAGGCAGGAGGATCTCTGTGAGTTCGAGGCCAGCCTGGTCTCCATAGCGAATCCAGGCCAACTAGGGCTACAGAGAGACCCTGTCTCAAAAAGACCAAAAAAAAAAAAACAATGTACATAAATGTTTACAGAAGCTTTCTTTATTGTAACTAAAAGCTGGAATCAGCCTAAATGACTTGCAACGAGTGAATAAACTTTTGTAAACACACACACCATGGAGTACTACACAGCAATTTAAAGCCACAGACTGTATAAAGATGTGACTAGATCGACAGGAAATTAGACTTAGGAAGAGGCCAATCTCAGGTTACATACTGCATAATTCCATTTATATAACATATTTGAACTCATAAAATTTTAGAAGTTGCATACAGATTGCTAGGGTTTAGGAAAGGGACAGGAAAAAATAGGGAAAAGGGCTATAAAGGGACACTATGAGGGATCCTGTGCTGTAGGAACTATTCAGCATCTTGACTTGAGGATAAGACAGCTCTTCACAGGTGTTAAAATTGTATAAAACTTGGGGCTAGAGAGATGGCTCAGCAGTTAAGAACACTTGCTGTTTTTCCAGAGGACCTGGGTTCAATTTCTAGCACCAACACAGAAGCTTAACCCCGGGGTGGTGGCACACGCCTTTAATCCCAGCACTTGGGAGGCAGAGGCAGGGATCTTTGTGAGGTTTGAGGCCAGCCTGGTCTACATCATGAGTTCCAGGACAGCTAGGGCTACAAGGGTACCCTGTCTCAAACTGTAAACTGTTATTGAGTATGTTAAAGCTGTAATGAATGCTTCTTTTAAAAAATGAAAATATATATATAATTTTAAAAAGGCCAAAAAAAAAACAAAACAAAGACCCACAGAAGCTTAACAACCATCTGTAACTCCAGTTCCAGAGGATCCAGCACCCTCATCTGGCCTCCATGGGCTTTGCATACATGTAGTGTACTTACATACATGCACACAAAACACTCATACACATAAAATGAAAATAATAAAATTTTTTTTAAATTGTGTAAAATTTGATACACACATACATACATATATTAATTCAAGTAAAATTAAAGAAATCCTAAGAAAACCAGTGGGTTATATTAAAGTCAGTATCCTTGTTGCATTATTATACATTCTAGTTTATCCCGATGGCAACATTTTGCATAATGTTGCCATTGGGATAAACTGGGCAATGTATCTAAGGAATCTCTTTGTGTGTTGTTACAACTATATATGCACATTTAATTAAAATTTCAGTATAAAAAATGAAGAGAGCCAGGCATGGTGGCACATACCTTTAATCCCACCCAGCACTTGGGACACAGAGGCAGGCCGATCTCTGTGAGTTTGAATTCAGCCTGGTCTACATATCAAGTTCCAGGCCAGCTGGGGCTACAGGGAGGGCCTATCTCAAACCCACCCCCCCCCCAAAAAAAATGAAGAGGAGCCAAGGATGTAGTTTAGCCATAAAGTGCTTGCCTAGCATGTGCAAAGCCATGAGTACATTAAAAGAAAAGAAGACCTGTGCATGTAGTGGCACATGCCTATAATCCCAGCACTCAGGAGGTAGAGGTAGGTGAAGCTCTGTGAGATTGAGGCCAGCCTGGTCTATATGGTGAGTTCCAGGCTCCCTGGGGCTATAGGGAGTACCTGTCTCAAAAACACAAAATTTTTAAAAAAGAAGAAAACTAGACTAACAGTTGAATCCTAGCCAAATTCTCCTCACTAGCCTAAAAAGCTGATAGGGAAGATTAGTCAGGAAACTGTACCTATGTCCCACTTCCTACTCCATCCTACCCCAGGTCTTGCTCTCCTTGCGCATCTTGTTACTGATGAAGCCCAGCGTACTGTCCAGAGTCAGCCACCAGGTTGCATATGGGCTCCATGAACTCCTCAAGACCAACGCAGCCAACATCCACTCAGGTGATGACTGGGCCACCCTCTTCACGTTGCTGGAGTGCATTGGTTCAGGCGTGAAGCCTCCAGATGCTCTACAGGCCACAGCCAGAGCTGATGCTCCTGATGCTGGTATGCCCTTTCGCAGGAAGTTGCTCACTGGCAGATAAACAGTTATGACCTAAGAACTGCTCCAGGGAAACAAAACACAGGTTATTACATTCAGCAGATTAAACACGCCTGGTTTCTGCCATCTGTTTCCAGAGCTTCTGTGCCTGCTAAATAACATGAAGGCAAATAGACAATGCAGAAGGCCAGGTTTCCTACATTTTCATAAAAGCTATATCCCTACCACAACTGCCTTTCAACCAACAGCTGCTACTAGATGCTATCAGAAGCCCAAAATAACTTGCTGCCCTATTTGGTCAAGAGAGAAGCTGCCCAGTCCTCAGTCCTTTGGTGACATGGCTGAGAGTAAGGCTAGGGAAACAGGATGCCAGGCCTCCGCACCATTCTTCTGAGTCTTAAATTGTCTCTTGTTTCATTGTCTCATCTCTGCTCTTACTATTCCCTGTTCTCTGCCTGACTTAGGAGCCCAGTCAGACAGTGAACTCCCATCCTACCATCAAAATGATGTCAGCCTGGACCGAGGGTACACTTCTGACTCAGAAGTCTACACTGACCATGGTAGGCCTGGCAAGATACACCGATCAGCCACAGATGCTGACATGGTCAACAGTGGTTGGTTAGTGGTGAGTCTTCCATCCTGGGCCTGTCAGAAAGATTCTTAGTCCTCAGAGAAGAGATCTAGCTTGGAGCAGGGTTCCCAGCTTGTACCCTGTGTTTTTTGCAGGTGGGGAAGGATGACATTGATAACTCCAAGCCAGGAGCAGGGCCCAGCAGGCCAGGCCCTTCACCCCTGGTTAATCAGTATAGCCTCACGGTGGGCCTGGACCTGGGGCCACATGACACTAAGTCCTTGCTTAAGTGTGTGGAATCACTATCCTTCATTGTTCGTGATGCTGCCCACATCACCCCTGACAACTTTGAACTCTGTGTCAAGACTCTCCGCATCTTTGTAGAGGCCAGTCTGAATGGTGGTAAGTTACCTGTTGAAGGGACAATTGGGGAGTGAGGCAAGTGGGGAGGGATAAAAGACATGGCATCTTTGCCCTAAGGCTATGAAAGTAATGTGAGTCTGGCTCTGCTCAGGGTGCAAGTCCCAAGATAAACGTGGCAAGAGTCACAAATATGACAGCAAAGGGAACCGCTTCAAGAAGAAATCCAAGGAGGGTTCAATGCTTCGGAGGCCCCGAGCCTCTAGCCAACATGCTGCTCGGGGTGGACATAGTGATGAAGACGAGGATGAAGGCGTGCCTGCCAGCTACCATACGGTGTCTTTACAGGTCAGTCAGGACGTAAGTATGGCACCCTTTACTTCCTCTCCTGCACCTGAGACTGGGAACCTGGGTGGGACCAGGGAAAGCCAGAGCTCAGAAATGTCCAATGTGTTCTACCCAGGCCTTCAGCCACCACCTCCACTCTCTTATCCAAAATCACCTGTAAGTCTTTGCTTGCTTAAGTTGAGTTTTAAATTAGGATTATTGGGCTGGGGATTTATCTCCATGGTATAGTTCTTGTCTAGTGTGTGGAAGGCACTGGGTTCAATTCCTAATACTGAAAAAAAGATATAAAGACTTCTTCATTTGTTTAATAGGTAATATATGTACATGGTACAAAGTTCAGAAGATATAAAAGGCTAAACTGGTAAAATGGAGTATCCATTCCATTCCTGTACCCAGCCACTAAGTTCCCCTCACTCTTAGAGGCAACTGAACCCCTAGTATCTTCTGTCCTTCTATACATGTTCATGTTTATTCCAGGCATATAAAATGATGGGCTGGCTCTGTATGATCAGGTAAATGGAGAAACAGTTGTCTTCAGGAGAACAGCTGTGGAAAAATGATGAAAAGAAATGTTAAGTATTAAATCTGGCCAGACACTATTGCCCATGTAGGCCTCTGAGCATGAGGTTTGCCTTGGTTTTTTGTTTTTTAATTTTATCTATTATTGTGTTTATGTATTTCTGTGCAGGCACATGTTCCATGGCATGCTTATGAAGGTCAGAGGACAGCTTTGTGGAACTGGTTCTCTCCTTCTACCTTTACATGGGTTCCAGGATCAAACTTAGGTTGCCAGGATTACATGGCAAGCGCCTTTACCTGTTAAACCATCTTAGCAACCCTAAGTTTGCTTTGTTTGGGGAATTTTGGGTGTTTTGTTTTATTTTGTTTTGTTTTGTTTTGTTTTGTTTTGTTTTGTTTTGTTTTGGTGAGACATAGTCTCACTATGTAGACCAGGCTGGCCTTGAACTCACAGTTTGCTTTGATTTTAAAGTGAGATTAACAAGGGCAGTGAAAACCAGATATAGTGGTTCATGCCTTTAATCCTAGCACTCGGGAGGCAGATGCAGGTGGATCTCTGTGAGATCAAGGCCAGCCTGGTCTACATAGTGAGTTCCAGGCCCAGCCAGGCCTGCATAGTGAGACACTATCTCAAGGAAAAAAACAACGGCAGTTGACATGGCTCAGGAGATGGCTCAGTGAGTTAGAGGCTCTTGGTGCAAAGGCTAACAACCTGAGTGTGACCCCAGGACCCATTCAGTGGAAGGAGAGAATCAACTCCCAGAAGCTGTCCTCTGATCTCCTCAAGTGTGAAATATTTTTCAAAACTTTTAATGAGCCAGATGTGGTGGTGCAGGCCTTTAATCCCAGCACTTGGGAGGCAGAGACAGGGGAATCTCTGTGAGTTAGAGGCCAGCTTAGCCTGCATAGCAAGTTTCAGGCCAGCCAGCAGGGCTATATATATAGTGAGACTGTTTAAAAAAAAATTTTTTTTAATGAGATTAATAAAGTGACACTGTGTGTCCACAGAAGGTATGACAATTAAAGTACCTTTCTCACTACAATCCCATGCTTTTAGATCTTTGCCCACATATTTTCTTTTTATGGTTTTTTGTTTTTGTTTTTAATCTTTTTGAGACAAAGTTTTCCTGTAGCCCCAGCTGGCCTGGAACTCACTGTGTACACCAGGATGGCCTCATCTCGCAGAGATCCGCCTAGCTCTGTCTCCTGAGTGCTGGGATCAGAGGTGTGCGCCATCATGCTTTGCTTGCCCACACATTTTCTAAAGTCTTCTCTATACCCAGTAACTCTTGACTTCTTGACTTTGAGAAACACTGCCAGGACTAGAGCTAGAAGCTCAAGATGAAGAAAAGGAAGTAGTGGGGTTGGAGTGTGGTATAGCTTTGTGCTAAAAGTAACTTGAAGACTCAGTCAGGGACAGTGGTGGGGAAGGGGGGATGGCACCCAACAGACCAACCCCATTCACATCCTGACCCCTCTTCTGATCCTAGTTGCTAGACCTGATGCACACGCTACACACTCGGGCAGCCTCTATCTACAGTTCATGGGCAGAGGAGCAACGCCATTTGGAGACAGGTGGTCTGAAAATTGATGCTGATTCCCGTACCCTCTGGGCTCACTGCTGGTGCCCTTTACTACAAGGTAAACCTGGGGAAGGACACAAGGTAGGAGGACACAAGTGACACTGAAACTTGGAGAGCACCAGGACCAAATGCCTGGAGGATCCTGACCCTGCTCTCACTCTCAGGTATCGCCTGCCTGTGCTGTGACGCCCGGCGCCAGGTGCGGATGCAGGCCCTGACCTATCTGCAGCGAGCACTATTAGTACATGACTTACAAAAGCTAGATGCCCTGGAATGGGAGTCCTGTTTTAACAAGGTAGGCCTTCTTACTGGTCTTAAGATAAACTTCAAATCCTAAGGCAGAGAGAGCCAGGCAGCCTGAAGAGCCCCTGTCCTCTTTCTGCATCAGTCCTCCTCTGCTATTCTGGGCCTCTCTGCCCAGCCCCAGTTTGCCCAAGTGACTCTACTAGAATGACATTGATATTTACTCACCAGGTGCTGTTTCCTCTACTGACCAAGCTCTTAGAGAACATCAGCCCTGCCGATGTGGGTGGGATGGAGGAGACTCGGATGAGGGCTTCCACACTGCTCTCAAAGGTACTCCTCACTCACCAGGTGTGGTAGTACACACCTTACACCTTTAATCCCCTCACTTGAGAGACAAAAGCAAATATATCTCTGTGAGTTCAAGGCCAGTCTTGTCTATATAGTGAGTTACAGGGCAACCAGTGCTACATAGTAAGACCCTGACTCAAAAAAAAGAAAAAGGGTACCACTTAGTATCCTACATCAACCTGCTCACCCCATCTCTACCTTTTCCCAAGGAGAACAGTTAGGGCTTCTTATACGTCCTAGAGATGCAGTGTGGGTGCTCAGGATCCCCAGTTGTGGAAACTATCTGGGGACTTGGGAGGACTCTGGATTTCAGAGCAGTCTCTGATCTGAGACTCATGCAAGATGAGCAGGCTTCTCCCAGTTCTGGAGAAGGTTGTGAAGGTTCCTACACTAACCTGAGCTGAAAGGGGCTGGCGGGCCCTAGGTCTTCTTACAGCACCTGTCTCCACTGCTATCACTCTCCACCTTTGCTGCCCTCTGGCTCACCATCCTGGACTTCATGGACAAGTACATGCATGCAGGTTCTAGTGATTTACTGGTAAGTTCTGCCTTGGCTCAGTTCCCACTTACCCTTTCCTCTCCACCTGCTGGGAAGACTTGCTGTTTTGCCCCTTGGCAGCTCCCTCCAATTTGCCTCTTTGCTATTCTAATGGTCCTACTGTTCCCTGCAGTCAGAAGCCATCCCTGAATCTTTGAAGAACATGCTCCTGGTGATGGACACAGCAGAGATTTTCCATAGTGCAGATGCACGAGGAGGTGGCGCCTCTGCCCTCTGGGAGATTACCTGGGAGCGCATCGATTGCTTTCTACCACACTTACGGGACGAACTTTTCAAGCAGACTGTCATCCAGGGTACAGGGCCTGGGCCAGCCTTTCCGAGGAGTCCTCAAAGCTGAATTTTCTCTGTCCACTGGGGGATTGAAAGAGTAGTGGGTTGCCACCAGGCATGGTGGTACACACCTGGAATCCCAATACTTTTGAGGCCAAGGCCAGAGAATCAGAGTTAGGCCATTCTCAACTACATAGTGAATGTGAGGCCAGCCTGGGCTACATGAGACTCTGTGTTAGGGGAAGGAGGTGTGGGGGGTGGGGGGTAGCCTGGTGGGTAACCAGGAGCCTATTGGAAAGAAAGCACTAAGAGTTGCCATCTGGATTCTCTACCCTAGACCCCATGCCCATGGAACCACACAGCCAAAAACCTCTGGCCTCCACCCACCTTACTCCGGCTGCTGGTGACCCCAGGATGCCTGGCCATGCGCCTCCCCCAGAGATACTCTCAGAACTGGGGTCCTGTGGTGAGTTCTTCAGAGCTGGCCTGTTTGGAAGAAGCAGAGGAGGCCCAGTATAGTTTGTTGCTAAGCTTGGGCTGAAATCCCCAGGAAGGAGGCAACCTGAGAATCCTGTCTGCCTGTTCTTCTTATGGGAAATGGCAGGACCAAACTTGCTAAGATGAGACTTTTTTGGCTTGGAGGAGAGGTCTGGGTCAAGTATCTGGAATGAACATGCAAAGACTGCCCTTAGCCAGGCATGGTAGCACACACCTTTAATCCTAGCACTCTAAAGGCAGAGACATGTGAATCTAAGTCCAAGGTCAGTGTGGTCTACATATAGTGAGTTCCAGGCCAGCCAAGGCTACATGGTGAGACCCTATCTCAAAACAAACAACAAAAAAAGCTGCCTTTTAGGGATGCTAATAAAAACCAGACAAAAATTAACCTGATTAAGGGAACAGTGGAGGAGGTAGAGGGTAGATCCCAGGTAGCTTAACAGTTTAGAGAGGAGGCGCCCAACACTTTAGCCTAGAAGAGAACTGGGAGGAACAAAGGTTTGGTAAACCCACTAGGGAGCCTGAGAGTTGTCTTGTGCTAACCAGAAAATCCAACTACAGCTACCTCGTTCTCCTTACAGACTCAGAGAAGCCTGAGAGTCCTCAAGCCACCAGCAGCAGTTCCCCTGGATCACCAGTGGTCTCTAGCCCCAACAGACTGAGTCCTACCCCAGAGGGGCCTCCCTCACTCTCCCAGCCCCCACTAATCCTACAGCCCTTGACCTCTCCACTGCAGGTGGGTGTGCCACCCATGACTCTGCCCATCATCCTCAACCCTGCTCTCATCGAAGCCACTTCTCCAGTGCCTCTCCTGGCTACACCACGCCCTACAGACCCCATACCCACCTCCGAAGTCAACTAAAGCTGGTCCTCAATGATCAGGACGATTACTTCCCATGAGGTTATCCTAGGCCCCTCTGCCATCTCAGGGGCCACAAAAATCTTCAGGCCTAAAGCGATCTACTGTTGCTACCACTTAGATGGGAAAAAGAACTTTTGTAGTCTCTGCTGGGACCCACTTCTGACTACAGGACCTTCTCCTCTACTGTCCATTCCTGAGGGTCCAGCCTGAGAGCACACTCAGCTCATACCTGTAGCCTCTGCCTCCAGCCTGGCAGCCCTGGGGAGGCATGGAGCCAACCCTGCAGTGCAGCCACGTGCCCCTCCTGCCAGGTCAGGCATTAGGAGCCAAACGCAACTACTCTGCACTTTGTTCCTCTCTCCCATCCTAGTCCCAACAGTCCTGGGCCACCTTCTCCTAGTCTTCTTTATTAAATAGTTGGTCAGTTTGGAGAGTTGCTTGGCACTGTGGAGAGTGGACAGGTAGAACTGGATGGGGAGACTGCCCACAGAAGCATGTAGATATGGAGAAAATGACAACAGTGGACTTTTTATGATGTAATAAATGTCTTAGTACCAACACATTTCCTATCCCTCTGATTTCCTTTTTGAATTTGTGTGTCAGGGCACCATGCTATTGGAATATCCTGTCCAAGGTTTTTGTGGACCTTGGATAAATGGGTAAAATGAGGTTGACCCTACCACCAGTGAGACCTGACCCTCCTGGTCTCCAGCCACCAGCCAGAGGCTCCCTGCCCCTACTGCCATGAGCAAAGGTGTGTCAAAAGCTTGCGTAGTTCCATAACTACTCGAAGAGGGACACCTTGAGAAAGCCTGGCCAGGGTCAGAGGGCAGGTAAATCAGAGCTGTTAGAGTTTCTCAGCCTTCCTTCAGATGGACCTTATGGTACAAGAGTACAAGGAGCCCATGGGGCTGGAGAGGTGGAGGGGTAGGTTGCCCACAGTTACAATCATGTGTTTCTGCGCACAGGCATTCACTCTGACCCCAGACTGCAGTAGGACAATTATTCCCTGCCCCAACAGCCTCCACCTCCCCCAGTAACTTCAGTGTGATTGGAGGACCCCTTCTTAACCTTTGCATCAGGGTGAGGAGGCAGGATTGTACATGCAACGGGCACTGTGGTCATCCAGAGCCAAGGCACAGGGCTGGGATTTAGGGGATGGTTGTGTGTCTCAGTGGCAGTGTTTACCTAGCCTGCATGGTTGCCTGGGTTCCATCTCCAGCCTTTGCATCAGGTTAAGGAGGCAGGGCTGTACGTGTGACAGGCACTGTGGTCATCCAGAGCCAAGGCACAGGGCTGGGATTTAGGGAGGATGGTTGTGTGTCTCAGTGGCAGTGTTTACCTACCCTGCATGGCTGCCAGAGTTCCATCTCCAGTAAAACCAAAACCAGAATGCTGTGTTACGCCTTCCTAAGTGAGATCATCTTAGATCATCTTGGCTTCCTACACAGTGATGCCTTGCCCCTCCTTTGGGACAGAGGAGTATGCGGGGACTTATGGTGTGAACAGCTAATTGTCCTTGCTCATGTAGCATTGGGGGCATTCCCTCTTGGCACTGAGCACCAGATGGCTGTACAGCTCTTCAGCACCTACACTTTGTTCAACACTTCCATGTTGCCAGGAGTTAGGGATTCTAAACATACTGAACTCAGGTGTAGAGAAGAGGCACCTGAGAAATGGGAGCCACCTGTTGAGCAAATATTAGCTCATGAAACCTCCTAGTTTCTCTTCCCTTCCTTCTTGCCCAGGTTACAGACCATTGCCTAGTTTCTACACTGATCAGAAGACTTGCCCAATCCTGCCCATGAGAAAATTAGAAGAGGTAAAGTGTTCAATGGGTGAGTATAGATAAGCCTACATCTACAGCCAGCTGGACACTTAGGCCCCCTCAGCTCCAGTGTCTTCTCCCATCTGAGCCCACAATCTGCCTTATGTTTCCCTGTGGGAGAAAGAGTGTTGAATCTGAAGGCCATCTGTTGTGTTTTCCCAGAAGGATGTAAAGAAACACCTATTCAGGGCTAGAAAAATGGCTCAGCAGATAAGAGCACTGGCATTACACACCATGGATGCATTTAAACATACATGCAGGCAGTAGACTTATATACATAAAAACAATAAAATTTTTGCAGGGTGTGGTGGCACACACCTTTAATCCCACAGAGGCAGGCAGCTCTCTGAGTTCAAGGTCAGCCTGGTCCACCTTGTGAGTTCCAGGACAGCTGGGGCTACAGGGAGACCCTATCTCAAAAAAGACCTAAAACTAATAATAATTTTTTAAAATACCTAATAACCAACAGACCAAAAATTATTCCAAGTTCAGCTTGGTGAACCAACGAGTTTATTGTGGTGACTTACAGGAGCATGCATAAGGGATTACTTACAGAAGAAGAAATGACTCAGGCACCTGTGTCACCAAAGAGCCCCACCTGCATGGATGATGATTCATGAAAGCTGTATCACTGGAGTTCCACCCCCTGTCAACCTTCTGCCTCCTTACATACATAGTGCCCTCCAAGACCATGGGCAGCTGGGGCAGAATTATGTGCATGTGGGAGTGGTGGCTAGAATCTCAGGTGAGGGTTTCATGACTCCCTCCCACACACACACTATGTTAATAAGCCTGATCTAAGTTTTCTCTGAGGGTGATTACAGCTGTTCTGATTTCAAGGTAGCTTTGGTCATATCCAACCTGGAGGACAGAGTTCCAGTACTCCATTCTATGAAGAAAAGAATATGAAAACTATATGTCCCTCAAGTCTTACAAACTAAAGAAGCAGCTAGCTTCTCTGCTGGGAAGCAGAGAAAAACATCAGGGGACTTGAGAGATGACTCAGCAGTTAAGAGTTCACACTGCTCTTATAGAGGAGTTTGGTGGGGTACAGCTCTAGGGGATTAGACACCTTCTAGCCTCTATACATACTTATGTGCACAAACCTGCAACACCGACAAATAATTTAAAATAAACCTTTTTAAGAGGACAGCTGCTGGATGGTTCAGCAGTTAAGAGCACTTGCTGCTCTTACAAAGTACTTGAGTTCAGTTCCCAGCACCCACATCAGGCTGCTCATAACCATGTATAACTCTAGCTCTAGGGAATCTGTCAGCTACCCTCTTCTGGCCTCCACTCACTCCAGGAACACACATGGTCCACATATACACTCACAGGCACACACAAATACATAAAATAAAAATAAATCTTTAAAAAAAAATATTTGGCCAGAAGTCCCATTCTGTTATAAAGAGAGCAGCTGATACACACAGGAATCATGTCAATAAATGTCCACGTAGACTGCAAAGACATCCTGGATCGCTTCAGTCATCAACCTGACACACCTGGGAAGAGGGAACCTCAGTTGGGGTAATTCCTCTAACAGATTGGCCTGTGGGTCAATGATTGTGGGGGCATTTTCTAGATTGTTGAGTGATATGGGAGGGTGCATCCCATTGTAGGTGGTGATACCCCTGGCAGGTGGTCCAGGCTTGTATAAGAAAGCAGGCTGTTGGGCTGGAGAGATGGCTCAGTAGTTAAGAACACTGGCTGTTCTTGCAGAGAACCTGGGTTTGAATCCCAGCACCCACATGGCAGCTAACAACTGTCTGTAACTCCAGTCCCAGGGGATCCAACAGCCTCTTCTGTCCTCCATGAGCATTGCACGACACGGGTGCACTTACCTACATGCAGGCAATACGCTCATAACATAAAATAAAAAATAATGAATAAAATATGGAGCTGGAGAGATGACTCAGTGGTTAAGAACACTGGCTGTTCTTGCAGAAGACCCAGGTTCAAATCCCAGCACCCACATGGCAGCTAACAACTGTCTGAACTCCAGTTCCAGGGGATCCAACAGCCTCTTCTGTCCTCTGCAGGCATTGCACTACACAGGTGCACTTATATGTAGGCAATACATGCATACACATAAAATAAAAATAATTAAAATACTTTAAAAAGAAAACCCTGCAGGCATGGTGGCACACACCTTTGATCCCAGCACTCAGGAGGCAGAGGCAGCTGGATCTCTGTGAGTTCAAGGCCACCCTGGTCTACATAGTGAGTTCCAGGCCAGCTGGGGCTATAGGGAGACCCTGTCTCATAAAGGCCAAAAAAAAGGAAGGAAGGAAGGAAGGAAGGAAGGAAGGAAGGCTGGCAGGCTCTGGACACTATTTTCCTGCCTACTTAATTTTTCTCAACAGTCCTTATTTCCAACTGAAGTCTAATTGGTTTTCATCAGCAAGCAGGGATATTGTTTTCTAGAGTAGATCTTTGCTATTTATTGGCAAACAAATGGTGTGAATCTTCTGTGGGCCAGGCATTGTGCTAGGACTGGATGTAGGAGCAGAGATGATCCTTGGATGAAAATCTGTAGAACAGGGACTGGAGAGATGGCTCAGCAGTTAAGAACACTGGCTGTTCTTGCAGAAGACCTGGGTTTGAATCCCAGCACCCACATGGCAGCTAACAACTGTCTATAATGCCAGTCCCAGGGGATCCAACAGCCTACAGGTGCACTTACCTACATGCAGGCAATACATGGCATACACATAAAATAAAAATAATACATTTTTTAAAAAGTTAAAATCAGAACAAACAACAAAGAATCATCTTACATCCAGGGAGATGAGATTATAGCAACTCTAGCTATTTAGAGATAGGTGATATCTCCAGGCTAACATGCACTGGGAATTGCTGGAGAAATTATTACAGATGCATGAAGATTCATTGCACTAGTCTCTCCACACTTTATACACCTTAAAACTTCTAGCTGGGAAAGGTGGCACAGGCCTTTTATCCCAGCACTTGGAAGGCAGAGGCAGGCAGGTCTTTGTGAGTTCAAGGCCAGACCGGTCTACAAAGTGGGTTCCAGACCAGCTTGGGCTACAAGGAGACCTTGTTTCAAAAGGAAAAAAAAAAAAAAACTATAATAAGGGGTTTAGGGGCTCTAAGAGATGGCTTAGCATTTAAGAGCACTTGCTGCTCTTCCAAAGGACTTGAGTTCCGTTCCCAGTACCCACAACAGGCTCATAATTGCCATGTCAAAGGGATCTGATGCCTTCTTGCCTTTGAGGGGACCTACACACATATGGCATTCTCTCTCACACACATATAAATAAATAAAAATAATTGAATCTTTTAAGGGTTTTCTTTTTTTTTCTTTTTCTTTCTTTTTTTTTTTTTTTAAATTGAGACAGTCTCACTATGTAGCCCCAACTGGTCTGGAACTTACTATGTAGACCAGGCCGGCCTCAAACTCACAGCCTACCTCTGCCTCCCAAGTGCTGGGATTAAAGGCATGCACCACTATGCCAGGCCTTAGGGGTTTATTTTCAATCCTCAGATAAATCACAACTCAGAATTTGAATTAAAACAGGTCAGTCCCTAGAGGTGCTTTTAGAGATGCTGTGGAGACTTTAATCATGCCAATGTCAGCTGGCAGTGGTGGTGTGTCATGGGCACGTGGAAAGGATGACTATAATCAGTGGCAACCAGCACAGGTTCATGAAATTGAAGATACCAAAGCTTAGGCCATTTAAGAGGCAAGAATCTGCTGCAAATGGTGGCACTTGCCTATAATCACAGCACATGGGAGGAAGGCAGGGGCAGGAAGATTCCTACAAGTTTGTGGTCAGCCTAGTCTACAGAGCAAGTTCCAGGTTATCCAGGGCTACATGGTGGGACCTTGTTTTAATCTCCCCCAAAAAAGAGAACTGAGAATCTGATTTCAGGGGCTCAAGATGGAAGAATATAAAGTGTGCCCTGGGCAGCTGACCTCGGGGATCAGGGCACACCAGCTCCTAAGCAGCTGAGTGAGTGTGCTGGACCTTGTGAGGAACCTTATCACATGGAATATTTTCCTGACCTTAGGTGCTTTTATATTGATCTCAAAATTCTGAACTCAAGACTTGGTGGGTAAGAAAGGAAATAACTAGTGAGACCAAGATGATGGCAGAGTGGCTGGGGTACCAGAGCAATGGTGGTGGCAGTTCTTGGCATGGCAGGCAGGCTGTGTGATAAATGGCCCACAGTGGTGGACAGTGATGAAGAGAACAAGGATATCAGGGAGCATTTCATGCCCCTCTGACCCAGCCATGTACTCCACAAGGGCCTGGCCTGGGGGCAGTGAAGGTGGAGAGTTTTAAGTGGGAAATGCCCTCATGTTTCAATCAGGGGACTTAAACAGGACTCCAGTAAGAAGCTGTCTCATCACTTATTCCCTCTTAATATTGAGGAAGATGTGAAAACAGCAGATACCAAAAAAGTCAACTGGATCCTTGACCATGAAAAAGAAAACACTCCCTGAGTGTGGTGGTGCATGCCTTTAATCCTAGCACTGAGCTCAGGAGGCAGAGGCAGGCAGATCTCTGTGAGTCTAAGGCCAGCCTGGTCTACATAGTGAGTTCCAGGTCAGCTGGGGCTACAGGGAGAGCCTGTCTCAAAAAAAAAATTTTTTTAATAAAAAATAAAATAAGGTATGCTTTGTTTTATACAAATTCTGGGAAAAGAGCTTTATCTTAGAGTCAGGAGACTGAGTTTAGACCTTGGGTCCATTTCCCTTTCTAACTATGTATTGGGTTGTGCTAAGCCTCTCTGAGCCTTAACTTCATCAGTAATGTAAAACTAATACAGGATGAACACTCCTAATCTGAAACTGAGTTTCAGAGTATGGAGTAGTTCAGATTTTCAGATTAGTGAAGCTCAACCTCTAGTCTATGCAAATATTCTAGAACTTTAAAAAAATTCCAAAATTGGAAGCATTTCCTTTCCCTAGCATTTAGTCTAGGATGGAGGAAGAATTGGAACAAATAGTCCCTCTTAGTGAGAGTGCCAGTCTGTATTTGTGTCCTAAAGATCAGGGGCAGTAGAAGGAGAGCCCTGAAACAGCCTGAGGAATGAGGAATCCAGGAATGAGGATTCCTTACTCCTCAAGAGAAACTCTCCAGGAGATCAAGGCATGGAGTCTGTGCTAGGTGAACTCCTGGAGAGATGGCTCAGTGGTTAAGAATGCTTGCTTTTCATGTGGGGCATGGTGGCACACACCTTTAATTCTAGCACTTGGGAGGTAGAGGCAGGTGGATGTCTGTGAGTTCAAGGTCAGCATGGTCTACATAGTGAGTTCCAGGCCAGCTGGGACAACAAAGAGACCCTATCTCAAAAAGGCCAAAACAAAACAAAATAAACAACAAAAAAAAAACTTGCTTTTCTTCCAGAGGACCTGAGTTCAACTCCCAAACACCCACATGCCAGCTAATAACCATCATAACTCCAGTTCCAGGGGATCTGACACCCTCTTCTGTCCTCTGGAGGGTATTGCCTGCACATAGTACACTTGCATACATGCATTCCCACACATTTAAGAAAAAAAGGGGAGAGAAAGACATGTTCAAGTGAAGAAAGCTGGGTAGTACAAAAGAGACCATTTTCAGGGTAGTGTCTCACTATGTAACTCTGGCCAGCCTGGAACTCACTATGTAGACCAGGATCGAACTCACAGAGGTCCTCCTGCTTCTGCCTCCCAAGTGCTGGGACTTAAAGGCATGCCCCACCACAACAGCTAAGGTGGCTTTTTTAAAAAAATGGTGGTAGTGTTTCCGGGATTAAAACCCAGGACCTCGGCAGGTGTGATGGCACACACCTTTGATCCCAGCACTCGGGAGGCAGAGGTAGGCGGATCTCTGTGAGTTTGAGACCAGCCTGGTCTACATAGTGAGTTCCAGGCCAGCTATTGCTACTGGGAGATTCTGTCTTTAAAAAAAAAAAAAAAATCCAAAAAACCCAGGACCTCACACACATGGAAAACACACCACTGGGCAATACCCCAAACCAAGAGGCCATTTTCTACTCTGGAGGAGGTTTAAAGTATTAGAATTTAAACACTCTGTGTGCCTGTGTGTTGAGACAGGGTAGCCCAGAGTGGCTTCAAACTTGTCTTCCTTCTGTCTCAGTCTCTTGAGAGCTGGGATTGTAGGTACTTATCACCATACCTTATTGGATGCCTTTCAATTCTATTATGCCAGAGACTCCCAGGCAAACATCTCCTTTCTTTTTCCCAGCGCACAGCTCTCTACTAAGGTCAGCCTGAAAACCTGTGCTGTTGTGACCCTGCCACTTGAGAGAAAAAATTCAGGGCCAGAGAGCCTCCTCTTGAAGTCATGAGACTAAGACAGAAACTACTGGCCCCACACAGTTTCCTTGTGGCTCCAGAGAGGCCGGCAGAGGGCGATCTGGGACTAACCGCAAGATCAGCTAGCTTCCTTCCTCTTCCCCCTAACTTCCCAGCTCCGGGGCCCCCTCGGGAGAGGGTGACTAGAGAGCGGAGGCCCACCGGCTTCCCCTGGGGTTCCCCAGTTTCAAAGACAGTCAGGCGCGGGACGCAGCAAAAACCCAGTAGCAGCGTGGGCTCCCTGGCCGTCTGGGGCGAGCCTGGGACGGCAAGGACACCCAAGTGGACCCCTGGGCTGCTCGTGTCGCCGGTGGCCCGACTGCTCGCGCTGGGTGCACGGTTACCCGGCCGTCCTTCCCCTCAAGAGCCTTGCCCATGGGTTCGCCAACGTCGCTCCCGGTTGGCTACGAGAGTCCCAGAGTTAAACTTTCAGCCAATAAAAAAAGGCATGGGGCGTGACGCACTGAAACGTCACGGGAATTCCCCCCTCGGGGGCCCGCTAGGGGCTTTCCCAGCTGGTGCCCCAGGTAGCAGGAGAGGAGAGGAGAGCGGTCCAAGGCGGCTGGGGCCTGGAGAGAAGTCGGAACCAGAGCCGCCGCCACGGTGAGTGGTGGGGTTCAGACCCTAGGTGGCCGGGAAACGCGGAAGGGAGGGAGGAAGGACTTTAGGTGACAGTCCTGGGGCTGGAGAGTGCGTACACCAACCAGACCCCGGTACACGTCGACACGTAGGCCTGCCCTTAGGCTGCTGTGTGCACACTCAGACCCACACACACATGCACAGACAGACGTGCTCACCTGTGCACCAGTGCCCGGACACACACTTCACGTAGTACAAACTCGAGACATGCTTACCCGTGCTCTCCCACACATTCAGACACGCACTGGCACATACCCACACAGCAGCTCAGGGGCTCACCTGTAAGGAGAAATGCTCGCTTGCACATGCATGCTGACACCACGCACATACATGCACACAAGACATTAAGGCTGAAACATGTATACGACAGACACACACACACACACACACACACACACACACACACACGGCTGTATGACTAGGGTGAGGGGGCAGGTGACGTCCGGTCGCCTTGGGCACCTGGAGCAGGTGCAGCGTGGGAGAAACTCAAATGTTCCTTGAGTCGGAGATGAAGCTATGCCAAGGAGGAAACTCCTTCCCCCCACCCCGCGGCTCCTATCACACTCTAGGGGCCGAGCCCGAGGGCCCCACTGGAAGAGCCCCCGCCTACGGACCATCCGACAGCAGGAATGTCCCCCCAAAAGCCCCCGGGTGAATCAGCCTTGTCCTCCCCGCTGGCAGAAAATCCCAAGGTTGCTCCAGGCCGAGGCAGTGGGGGCGCGGCGGGCCCGGCTCCGCACTGGGCGTCTCTCCGGCCCGCCGGCTGTACGTGCCCGGGAGGACACAGCAAGCGCCCCAACGCCTCACGCGCCTCTGCCCTCCGACTGGAGGCGGCACCGGCAGGCCACAGGGGAGCTCCCGCCTCTCCCGCCCCTCCCGCCGCGGGGGCGGGGCCAGTGCGTCATTTCCAGGCCCGCCCCCTCCGGCCCCGCCTCCCCCTGGTATTTTCGGGACTTTCCTAAACTGCACTAACTTTCTGCCCCTACTCCGGCCCAGCCCAGCTCCGGATCTCGACCTCCACCGGATCTTACCCGCCACACCCGGACGGGCGGCCGGAGGAGATCCGACCCTCCCCCAGATCTGGACCTCCCCACTCCTGCCCACCCCTAAGCTGATCTCCCCCACATCCCTTCCCCTGCACCTTAGGCGGGCGTCGAAAACTCTGGGAAGTCGTACCAGGGGCTGAAGCCGCCAGCCAGAGCCGGGCCTAACCCAGAGACATGGACAGTTGCTACGACCCAGTGAGTCACGCTGCCTGGCCCTGAAGGTGGCTGGTGCCCCTGTGTCTGTCTGCTTGTCCACCAGAGCCTCCTCCACCCCCCTACGCCTGCATTTCTTCAGATTGTCTCAGCCTGTCAGTCTGTCCTATCTGCAACCAATCTCAGAAAGAAGCTTCCTCGTGGGCTTGAGGAGGAGCTGGAGTTGACTGCTGAGGGCTTGGAGCTGAGGGTGGAGGGCTTGGCTAGCTTCAAATCAGCTGCCACCTCCAACCTGTCTCTAAACCAGGGTCTGGATGGTATCCCCGAATATGATGATTTTGAATTCAGCCCTTCCATTGTGGAGCCCAAGGGGCCACCCCCAGAGACAGGTCAGAAAGTCCCTTAACCTCCCCTTGTGAGGAACAGGGAGGAGGGTGAGCATGCACCTTCTGCTTGGGGGATGGGCTCAGAGACCCTGGCCCAGCAAGTCCCCTCTGTCCCCAGCTGATGGCCCCTACCTGGTGATTGTGGAACAGCCTAAGCAGGTGAGTGAGCAACAGAGTTGTGGGGTGGCTTCAGCTCTGGGGGCAAGTGAGGCAGTTCTACCTGACTGGTCATGAGGTACAAGGGAAGCTGCTCCCAGTTGGATGATTGGTTGCTACTGATCACAGTTTGGGGAGGAGTTCAGAAGAAGCACCACTGGTCATTGTGGTCTGTGATGGCCAGTGTGGTGCTGTGGGGGGGGGGTGTCCCCTGATCACAATGACTCTGTCACGGAATCATCAGCGAGGCTTCCGATTTCGATATGGCTGTGAAGGCCCCTCCCATGGAGGCCTACCTGGTGCCTCCAGTGAGAAGGGCCGGAAGACCTATCCTACTGTCAAGGTGAGCTTGAGGATGCTGGAGGGTAGGCTAGGGAACAGTGTGTTCAGGGTCGTTGCTGATAATCATGTGACCCTATCAGATCTGTAACTACGAGGGACCAGCCAAGATCGAGGTGGACCTAGTAACACACAGTGACCCGCCTCGTGCTCATGCCCACAGCCTGGTGGGCAAGCAATGCTCGGAGCTGGGGGTCTGTGCCGTGTCTGTGGGGCCCAAGGACATGACTGCTCAGTAGGTGTCCCCTATTTTTGACCCCCATGGGGTGCTCTACTACCTGCCAGTCTTAGGACCCAGCCTACCTGAGCCTACTTTAGCCTCAGAACCCCAGGGCTCAAATATAAAGAACAACTTCCTTGAACATTAGAACTAGGCTGAGGCTGGCAGTGGGAGGCGGCCTCAGGAGGAAAGAGCTGCATGGGTAGAGGTCTCTGACTCCTTCCTGTCCCCAGATTTAATAACCTGGGTGTCCTGCATGTAACCAAGAAAAACATGATGGAGATTATGATCCAAAAACTTCAGAGGCAGCGGCTCCGCTCCAAGCCTCAGGGCCTTTCAGGTATGGGAACAGGGAGAATCAGAAGAGGCGCTCGTGGAAGGGACAGGGAAGGGAGAGAGCCAGAGGTCATACCCACACTTTATATCCAGAGGCTGAGCATCGGGAACTTGAGCAGGAAGCCAAGGAGCTGAAGAAAGTAATGGATCTGAGTATTGTGCGGCTGCGCTTCTCTGCTTTCCTTCGAGCTAGCGATGGCTCCTTCTCCTTGCCCCTGAAGCCAGTTATCTCGCAGCCTATCCATGACAGTAGTGAGTATCCTGCAGGGTGCCAGGTGTGAGTACCCAAGGGAGCACTGGGGCGCCTTCAATCTATGGAGTCTGAACCAGGATTTGAACCTGGCCCTGCCACGTGAGAGAAGTGGTCTTAAGTATGAGTATTGCTTCTGTCTTTGGAAATGAGGATACTAGTAATTCCCTAAGGTGTGAGATAGTGAAAGACCTCCAAGCTCCCGGCCCCATCTTTGTGGTCCTAACCCATCTCCCACACTATAGAGTCTCCAGGGGCTTCAAACCTGAAGATTTCCCGAATGGACAAGACTGCAGGTTCTGTTCGGGGTGGAGACGAAGTTTATCTGCTTTGTGACAAGGTACAAAAAGGTGAGGCTGGAGCCCAGACTGGGAGTTAGGGACCCTAGTTATAAGGCTGGGGACCAGGGCAGCTCTAGGATAAACAGACTGGACCTGTAGATCTACCCATAGCTAAACTTCACTTTTCCCTGTAGATGACATTGAGGTTCGATTCTATGAAGATGATGAGAATGGATGGCAAGCTTTTGGGGACTTCTCTCCGACAGACGTTCATAAGCAGGTACTGAGGACCAGGACCTAAGCTGGGGGCAGAACTAGCAAGGGCCTTTTCTGACACCCTGTCTCTCTCCCACCCTCCACCCCCAGTATGCTATTGTGTTCCGGACACCTCCCTATCACAAGATGAAGATTGAGCGGCCTGTAACAGTATTCCTGCAACTGAAACGCAAGCGTGGGGGGGATGTCTCCGACTCCAAACAGTTCACCTACTACCCTCTGGTGGAAGGTGGGGCGGGGCTAGAGCATTCCCAGGGACTAGAGGGAACTGGGCATCCTAGAGATGGCTCCTAGGAGCCACCTTGAGGACTCTTGGGAGAAGAGGCCCTTAGGTCTGACTGATATATTGGGTTTTAACATTCCGTTTCCCTTTGCTCCTAGACAAGGAGGAAGTACAGCGGAAGCGGAGGAAGGCCTTACCCACCTTCTCCCAGCACTTCGGGGGCGGTTCCCACATGGGTGGAGGCTCAGGGGGCTCTGCTGGGGGTTATGGAGGAGCCGGAGGAGGTGAGAGGGTGCTGGTGGCGGAGAGAGGGGTGGAGGAAGGAGGAGGTAGGGGAAAGTTGGGGAGAAATTTGGATGAGTCCTGTTTAGTGCCTCACAGCCCTGCCCATGTCCACAGGTGGCAGCCTAGGCTTTTTTCCCTCCTCCTTGGCCTACAGCCCCTACCAGTCTGGTGCTGCCCCAATGGGCTGCTACCCGGGTGGAGGGGGCGGGGCGCAGATGGCCGGGTCGGGGCCGAGCGTGGATGCCGGGGAGGCAACCGCGGAGCTGAGCGTATCCCCCGAAGGCCCCCAGGACAAGCCGCAGGTCCCCGATGCGCTGCAGCGAGGTACGCCTCGGGAATCCGGGCGGGTGGGGCGGATCGCCGGACTGGGGACCTGGTCCTCACTCACTCGCTCTATCGCCTGCAGCTCGCGAGTACAACGTGCGCATGTTCGGCCTGGCGCAGCGCAGCGCGCGAGCGTTGCTCGACTACGGCGTCACCGCGGACGCGCGCGCTTTACTTGCGGGACAGCGCCACCTGCTGACCGCACAGGACGAGAACGGAGACACGTAAGCGGCAGAGGGTGGGCAGAAACCTGACTTCCAGGGGCTGGGGTCTCCTGATAACAGTTCTAGAGGTTAGGACAGGAAAGGAGGAAAGGTTGGGGCAGGAGAGGTATCTGCAAAGAGCTGAACCCTAGAGTAGGGCAGATCAGGTCCCAAGTCCTCACTACTTTCTACTTCCATTCAAGGTATTTAATCTCCCCAACCTTCAGCAATGAAAGGGACACAGTAATAGCAACTACCTTAAAAATGTGAGGAAGGATTAAAATGGAGACATTCAGGATTCAACAGGCCCCAATGAAGAACACCATGGGGGCAGTGGAGTTTAGGGGGCAGATGATGCTCTAAGGGGCTGGACTTCCCAGGCCAAAGTCTCACTCTCCAACCCCCAGACCTCTGCACCTGGCCATTATCCATGGGCAGACTGGTGTCATTGAGCAGATAGCCCATGTCATCTACCATGCCCAGTATCTTGGCGTCATCAACCTCACCAATCACCTGCACCAGGTGAGGAAGCAGCCTCTGGTGAGGGGTTAGGGGTCGGTGGGGTATTCACTGGAGTGGGTTTGGCTTACTCTGCCTTCCTCCCCAGACGCCCCTGCACCTGGCAGTGATCACTGGGCAGGTGAGAGTGGTGAGTTTCCTGCTTCAGGTGGGTGCAGACCCGGCACTGCTGGATCGGCATGGAGACTCAGCCATGCACCTGGCACTGCGGGCAGGTGCTGAGGCCCCAGACTTGCTGCGTGCACTGCTGCACAGTGGGGCCCGTGCTGTGCCCCAAATATTACACATGCCTGATTTTAAGGGTAAGCTTCCTACCTCCAGTCCAGAAGGCAGAGGTGGGGACCAAGAAGGGTGCATGATGAGTAGACAGGAGTTGAGGCTAACTGGTCAGGAGTCATAGCAACAAGATAAGTGTGCAACTGGTTTCTCTAGGACTCTACCCTGTGCACCTGGCAGTTCATGCCCGTAGCCCTGAGTGCCTGGATCTGCTGGTGGACAGTGGAGCTGACGTGGAGGCAGCAGAGCGGCAGGGGGGTCGAACACCCCTGCATCTAGCCACAGAGATGGAGGAGCTGGGGTTGGTCACTCATCTGGTCACCAAGGTGGGAATGAGGACTGTGGAAGGGGTGGGCCTTACGGTTGTGGGAGAACCAAGAATGATGAAGTGTGTGGGGAGGCTTGGCTAGCTGGACCATGCTGCTCACCATTTTCTTGCACCTCACAGCTCCATGCCAATGTGAATGCCCGCACCTTTGCTGGAAACACACCCCTCCACCTGGCAGCTGGACTGGGATCCCCGACCCTCACTCGCCTCCTTCTAAAGGCTGGTCAGTCTCACCTTTAGATGTATGAACAGGGCAGAGGGAAGAAACAGGGAACCACCAGTCCCTCATTTGGCAGTCCTTACTGTGAGTCCCTCTGATGGTCTCTCCTGATCCCTTCCTCCCTCCAGGTGCTGACATTCATGCAGAGAATGAGGAGCCACTGTGTCCACTGCCCTCACCCCCCACCTCTGGAAGTGACTCAGATCCTGAAGAACCTGAGAGAGATACCCAAAGAAGCTTCCAGGGCCATACACCTCTTGACCTCACTCGCAGCACAAAGGTGAAACCAGCCTAGCACTAGAAGTACCAGGATAGGCACCGGGTACCTCCTGGGCTTGGGGATGCAGTCCAAATTATACTTAGGGATAGTTGGGCTTAAGTGCTGGGATGATAGTCAAAGCTGTTTTCCCAGGTGAAGACCTTGTTGCTAAATGCTGCTCAGAATACTGTGGAGCCACCCTTGACCCCACCCAGCCCTGCAGGTAAGGTTGCAGCAGGCATTTCTAGCCCCAGAAGTCATCTCCTTCAGCACCTTAGGGAGAGCTCCCTTGCTCTATCCCTCTCTTCCATCTAGGCCCCAATGACCTGTGTCCTTGTTTGTCAAGTTTTCAGGGAGAAAGGCCATGTCCAGGTATCTGTGCCCCTGCCAATCTGGACCTAACTCGTGGATCCATATTTGTCCCTTTAGGGCCAGGGCTGTCACTTGGAGATGCAGCCCTGCAGAACCTGGAGCAGCTACTAGATGGGCCAGAAGCCCAGGGCAGCTGGGCAGAACTGGCAGAGCGACTGGGGCTTCGAAGCCTTGTGGACACATACAGGAAGACAGCCTCACCTAGTGGCAGCCTCCTACGCAGTTACAAGGTGGGGTAGCATGTACCCTTCCCGCCCCTGCCCTTCTCAGAGCCCCCTTCCCCTGGGAACTCTCCATCCTACACCCTAAACATCACTTAGACCTGTCTTTTCCATTTCCTCAGCTGGCTGGTGGAGACTTGGTGGGTCTGCTGGAGGCCTTGTCTGACATGGGTCTAGATGAGGGAGTGAGACTGCTGAGAGGTCCTGAGACTCGAGACAAGCTGCCCAGCACAGGTAAAGGGACCAACCTGGAAGGTGCATCTGGGCCAAGGGTAGGAGGCCTGAAGCCTGACTGTCCCCTCTGCTCCCCAGCAGAGGTGAAAGAAGATAGTGCATATGGGAGCCAGTCAGTGGAACAGGAGACAGAGAAGCTGTGTCCGCCTCCTGAGCCACCAGGAGGGCTCTGCCATGGGCACCCCCAGCCTCAGGTCCACTGAACCGCTGCTCAGCCAACCTCCTCCACCTGAACCCCTCTGTACAGAATCCCCACCTAGTCTAAACCTTATTTAACACCTCAAGCCCACACCTCAGTGAGGCAAATAAAGGATTCCTATGGGAAGTGGAAGGCCCAGTGTGATGCCTATCCCTGGAACCAGCTTCCTACCCTGGCCCCAAGTGAGACTAGAGAAGGAGACCCAGCCAGCAATTCAGAGCAGTTTTAATGGGGTAGAGGCTGTACAAAGGGCAGGGCCCACCAACGGAGGGAAAGCAGGCCGTGCCACCTCAGCCTATGGATGGGGCCTCAATGTGGACATCCTTCTTCCATCTCTGTAGGAGAGAGGTGAGCCCTTGGGGAGAAGGAGGGGAACCAGCTCAGCCCCAACTCCTGGCCTCTGTCTGAGCCAGGCTCCAGGATGCAGGGAGATTGCTGGTGTCAGGGTCGAGTGGTCTCAGCAGAAAGCAGAAACATCATCAGGCCTCCCCCACAAAAAAAAAAAAAAAAAAAGAAAACCCCCATCAAAAGTTAGGGGCATTGGCCCCTCCCCCCCCCCCCCCCGTACGATAAAGAGCAAAACATTATCACAAAAAAGGGGGGCTCGGAGAGGGCCCTAGCCTAGGCTCCCGAGGGCCCGGCCACGCCCCCCCCCCCCCCGTACGAAAAAAAGCAAAAACATTATCAGGCCCCCCCCAAAAAAAAAAAAAAAAGAAAACCCCCATCAAAAGTTAGGGGCATTGGCCCCTCCCACCCCACCCACCCTGTACGAAAAAGTGCAAAACATTATCACAAAAAGGGGGGTCTCGGAGAGGCCCTTAGCCTAGGCTCCTGAGGCCCGGCCCAGCCCTGCCCTGCCCCGGACACCGCGTCCGGCGCGGTCGGGCCCTGGACCAGGAGGCCCTCTTAGGTGGCCCGAGGCTGGCTGAGCTCAGGCAGGGCCATGTCATCATGCAGGTGCCCAGCAGGCACTGCCCCCAATGCTCCTGCTCCCTGCTCAGGGCTTCGACAGCACACTGCCTGCTCCAGCCCGGGCCTCTGAGCCACGACGCTGCACCCGGAGCTGGCTGGTGGGGTTGGGCTGCAGGGAAGGACTGGAGTGAGGTGGAGGACATCCATCCTCCGTGCTCCTGGCCTGGGCCAGTGCTGCCTCTATGGCATCCAGCTCCTCACTGGCCGCCTTCATCTTGACTCGAAGCAGCGCTGCGTAGGTGCCATAGCGGGATTTCTAAGGCAGAAGGCCAGGGGCAATGACAGCCTGCCCTCCTCCCCTGGCCCATCCCACCTCACCACCTGGCCAGGAGATCTCGGTCCTGCAAGACATCCTTAGGAGGCTGATGACTCTCCCTGGGCTTTCAGAACCACCTATCATGACAGCTGACATTTCTGGAGTCCCTACTAGAGCTAGAGACATGGAATACTTGACAGACGTAACTTCCTGGCCTTAGTGGGTATGGAGTTTAGCCTTGATCCCCAGAAGAGAAAAATGGAAGACTCAGAGACAAACAGTCTTGAGTCTCTCAATCACCTAACTGGTCCCACTTAGTTCCATGCCCTTACTTCTAGCCTGGGACTATGTGTGGGACACAAAGGCGTCAGGCAGGGTGGCTCACCTCGAACTCCAGGTAGGCCTCCTTCTGCCGCTGCTCATCAGCCTCCTTGCCTCGGGTCTTCTTTCCCAGATGTGTTGCCCGGTGCTCACGCAACTCACTTGCCATGGCCTTCAGCTTGGCCTCATGGGTCCTCACCTGCTCCTCCTAACAGCCAGGGGTTCCTGGTCAATGTCACTAGTTTACAGTGACTTCATGCAAAGTTTAACAAGGGGATGAACTTGGATCTCCAGTACACCCATCCACCTGTCACCAGTATAGGGCTGCTTAATTATATTTGTAACCTGGAATACAGTTGGCCTCCTGCCCCACTCCACCCCACTGCCCCCCGTTAGATCGGGCAATCTGGGGCAACCTGGGAGAGGCGGGTGGCAGCGCTGGGCAACAGAGGACGGCTGAATTTCTTCTGGGAACTAACAGCAGCTGGGAAGGGGGGCGCAGAGAACATGGCGGCCACCACATTGATGCGAGTAATCCAGGACTGCATTTGTTCTAGACTCCTGAGGAGACAGCACAGCTATTTGGAACCAGGACACAGAGTTTTTCCTGACTTGGGGTGTGGTCTTAGAAGGAAAGGGGAATCCAGGAGTAAGGGAAGGGGGCAAGGTGGGTGAGCAGGGTCTGAAATGGTCAGGAATAGGGTACTCACGGAGCCTGGAAGAGAAAGACCCGCCAGTCAGCTGTGCGCAGGTAGAAGACGTGTGGTCTCTTGCTGTAGTCATTGGCACGGGTGGCCAGAGCATGGTGGATGCTGATGGCATTCTTCAGCTCTGCCTCAGAAAGAGCCTTCCCAGGCTGGTACTCCTCCTATGGGGGGGTGACCATCTTGTCCTGCCCCAGTCCCAAGCTGACCATCTCCAGCCACCTGCTCCACTCTGCCAAGCCAGCCCCACCACCCCCTCCTGACCCCGCACCTTCTGCAGGTAGAGGATCATGCCCTTGAGGATCCCATGGAAGCTCTTCCAGCCCCGCTTGCCACGAGGTGCTGGGGAAGGAAAGCAAGTCAGGGGGACCTGAGGAAGGCCTACTCCCATCCATCCCCCAGACCCGTACCCAGCCACATACTCTTCCTGAAGTCAGGGTCTGCGTGCACCTTTCGCACCAGGGCCCCGTGTTTGTAGACAGCAGCCCCAGGCTCTGGAGTCAGGTCCAGGAAAGGGCTGGAGCCGCTGCCACTGCCCCCGCTGACCCTCTTGATGACCTTGGGGTTGGGGTCGGCCAACTCAGACAGAGAGCGCCTCAGCTCCTCCTCGTCTCTGCAGGTGTGATTGTCTTAGAGGGTGCTGGCCACATAGCCAAACCCCTCAAAACTGGCTTTTGTCCTAGAATGCCTCTCCAGTGTTTAGGAGCTGCTGGCGGGGGGTCCCCCCCTCAATCTGAGCTCCTGCTCTGTTAGAGCAGAGCTCCAGGCTGAAGGCCTGTCTCCTCTCAGATGAGAGATCCCTTGGGGTAGGACCACAGCTGTACCTCCCCCCACCCCCACCCCCATACAAAACTTCCACCTTCTCCATTTCTACACACCCCCCCATCCTCACACCCTTCTCTGAGACAGATATGTGTGACTCAGTTCTGTCCTAACCACACCTAACACCAGGCTTTGCTCATAGTTGCTGGTTACATGGTACCAAATAGAAGAGATGAGCTGGGTATGGTGGCTTACACCTGTAATCCCAGCACTGGAGAGGCTAAGACAGGACTGCCTCAAGTTCAAGGCTAGCCTGAGCAATAGTGTAAGACCCAGTCTCAAAACACAAAAGGAAAAGGTAGCTTCCTAGTACCACTTCCCTCAGCATCTTAGTTTGTAAGCTATCAGATTAAAAAAAAAATCAGATTCTAACTTGTCATTGCCTTACTCAAGAACCTCCAATAGCTCCCTTTGCCTCCCACAAAGAGCTTATGTTACCTTTCCCCCAACACTCTCCTTCCAACCATTCTAGCCAGGCCTGTCTCCCTACCCCACATTGACTTCACCACACCTTGGCCTCTTCATACCAGCTTCTCCCTCTCTCCTGTAATGTTCTGCTTCCTTCAAGATTTGCCTCTAAAAAGCCATCTTTATCCCCCCCCCACACACACACCCTGATCTTGAGCTCAGAGGCATCTCTTTACAACTAAGGTGAGCCATGACTGGATTTAGCAGACAGCAGTAAGTACAGTGCCCAATGATGTTTGGTGAGGGCTCTCAGCCTAGGACCCCCAAAGACTAAACTGGACCTTCTCCCTCAACTTGGACTCTCTAAGACAAAGGGAAAACTTGATTCCTGTTCTGTGACAAGTGTTATGCTCCAGACAAGGCTATACTTCCAGAGATACCTGCTTTCCTCTTGGGCTGTCAGGAACCTCCTTTTATGTTTCAGCACCCCTCTTCCCCGCCCTAGCCTAGCCTGTCATAACAATAGAGTTAGACACAAGACAGACCCCAGTACAGGCAGGCATCTCCAAAGAAGGAAATGAGGCAGCCTTTCTGCCTCTTGGGGCCTCCTACCCCCTATACCCAGAGCCCAACTCTCTGGTGTCCCCAGGCAGCCCCTTCCTCATGCCCCATCCACATGGCCCCAAGACTCACATGGCCCACTGCAACTTTTCATTCTTGATGGAGCTGTACAAGGCCTGAGGAAGAACAAATCAGGGGGTATGGGTCAATCCTGAGGGGAGGTGCACCATGTACTTCAGTGTCAGAGCTTAGAACCTTCCCTCCTAACTTGGGAGAGAAGATGGGACTTAAGGGGGAGTGGGATGGTTGGCATAAGGATAAAAAACAGGCTCTGAAACAGAGCACCAAGATCCAGGCCCAGCTCCACCACTGAAGCTGCCCAACTTGGGCAAGTATCGGGGCAAGTGGCTAGTCGGCACAGAGAACCCCTGCCCAGGTCTGGTGCACAATAACTGCCAGCTGCTATTATTATCTCTGTTGTTATTAAGGGGGCTCTCCTGCTCTGAGGTTGGTTGGAGAAGCACAACTCTAAACAGAATGAAAAAGCAGCTGAAGAGATCCTCCTTCCCCCAACCAAGTGCTCTGGCTTGGTTCCACACTCTAAACCCACACGGAGCAAATGGGGAAACTGAGGCTTCATGATAGAGGATTCACCTCACCCTCCTCATCTCCCATCTGCAGAACAATGGGAGGCCTTCCCCCAACCCAGACAGCCCCATCAAGCTAGAAGCCAGGGGGCTCAGCTCTCACCCAGACACACTTCACACTGCTGGAGCATCAACCCAAGTCTGAAGCAGTAGTGGAAAATCACGTCCACCCCAAACAGTGGGCTCCTGAACCAGTCACTTCCTGGCTGTACAGTTGGCCTGGAGACATTTGGGAGCCATGGGTGCCAGAGGAGAGTGGTTTCCAGGAGTGGTGTATAAGACCCCTGTTCTTAAGGATGGCCTGGAATATGCCAGGGACTCCAATTGTGGGGGCGCTTCTGCCAGTCTGTCTGTGAGTGGGTGTGTCCCCAGCATGTGCATGTTTTACTGTGTGTGGCTGTGATGCTGCCTGCGCGTGAGCTGGGTGCAGTGGTGACGTCGACGCCTTCCCAGTGATGGGACCCAGCCCCCCCCCCCATCTCCCAATACACCACAGGCTCTGACTCTCACTGCCCATAGCCATGCCCAGCCAGAAGGCTATCCAGACACTCCGTCCCTGGAGGCAGATGAATCCCAAAGCCTCTACCCCACACAGCACAAACCAGGTTAATCGACACAGCCCCCAATACACCTGGCCAAACTCAACAAGGCTCAGACAGAACCTAAACCCTCTCACTTCTCAACTCTCCACCCAGAAGGCTGAAGTGACCACCAAAATCCAACCTGCAACCCTTGTCTCCAACCTTCCAGTTCATTATTCGGCCCTCCTCAAGACCACCTTTGCCCACAACCACACCTTCCTTCCTTTAAAGGTCCCAGGCCCTGTCAGAGGGCCCCATGTCCTGCTCCCGTCTAGAAAACCCTCCTCACCCATAATGCTGTGGTTGGTAAAGCAGGTCCACCTTGGCCCTCCTCCGCAAGCCCATGCCTCCAGGTGCTCAGAGGCTAGATGCTTGCTGAGCTCTCCCACCACCTTCGTCCCCATCCATGTCCTCCTCGCTCGCGCCTCCCCCAGGCCGCCCCCTCACTCGCCGCCCCTCCTGGCGTGGGCCCGGTACCCCACGCCCTCACCGCCTTTTTCTTCTTGCGGCTCTGCAGGCGGCTGACCACCAGGTCGGTGTAGAGCACCGGCTTCAGACTGCGCGAGCGCTGCGGCCAGCCATAGCACAGGGTCTCCGCGCCGCGGTGGGTGCGCCCGTAGCGCACTGAACACAGCGAGCGCGAGCGCAGCCGCCCCGCGCTGCTGTGGATGCTGTTGACGCCGATCATGCTGGCCCGGCCGGCACGCCGCGGCCCCCGGCCATGCCCCCGCCGCCCTCGGCTCCC